TGGCGGATTCAAAAATTTTAGAAAGGTGGGAGTGGGGGCAGTACACAAATGGTTTTCATCGAAAAAAAAAAATGTCCAAACTGGAAAATCGGGAGTTTCGTGGGGGGGGGGGGGGGTAGATTCCTAATCAGGCTTGACACTATATGTGCGTGATCGTTTCGTGTTGATAAATTAAAAGTGTATACAAGTTTAGCAAACATAATTTTCGAAAGCCAAAAAAGAAAAAAAATCGAAGGGGGGGGGGGGGGTACCGACACGCGCGAGTGAGAGCTGGATCTGCCTTGGTTTCTCTACATTTTGTTTCAAACATGAAGTTAATATGCCCCCTTTCTTACATCTGTTTATTTCAATTTGGAGCCAAGAATTTTGTATACACATGTATGACGACCGCTCAATGACATTGTCGGACATTTCTCTCAGAATACAACCTCCCCGAAACATTTTTGCTTCAAATACATTCCCATATATGATTCTTATGTATCAAAATGTTTTGCACTAAATTCGCAGCTTAGATTTTTTAAAAAAAAAAAAAGGTCAGCAAGAGCTAAATAGATAGGAAAAAACCTACGCAATCAAAATAAATTAAAATTTTGGGAAAACACATTATATAATGCATCTCATAATTAAAATTATTTAAATTGATAGATACCTGCACGTCCACCTCACTCGGCATTTCAGTTGCGACTGATAAAAATGGGGTACTAAATCAACTTTTTGCAAAATCATGGTTGAGAGATGTATACCCAAATACACATGTAAATTAGCGAGGTCATAAGAAAGGTCATGTCACAAGTCATTTAGAATACTCGTTTCCTACTGTATCGGAGATACAGGGCGGGGCCCGGTTCGAGCTATCGCTCTCGCCTTAAGCCCCGCCCTGTATCTCCGATACAGTAGGAAACTCGTACTCTAAATATAACTAAAAAAAATTTATAAGTCATTTCTTAAGTTGTGCCTTTAAGAACTAATAAAATAACATTCCCGCTCTATATACAACTCTCAGAATGGTATATATTTTTAGATTCAAAAAGGAAGGGTGCGAGGATTGGGGATTGCCCCCACTTTTAAAGGATTTGGACACAAGTATGCTTAACTTTGGGAAGTGTGTTGCTAGATCTAAGCATTCACAGACACACCCTTTCAAGCCATCTTCCCTTCCGAGCACACGATATTTGTATTTTAATTTTTAAACATTGTTCTAGGTGTTATACACTTTACTTTATTTTGTTCTCATAAGGTATCTACATGTAAATAAAATTTTAAAATGAATGCTTCGAAGCGAACACATGCGAGTTTATATTTTTCAAACAATCTTTGCCAATTACTACACTGCATGTACACGTTAGTTGTTTGTGCGGTGTAGAGCAACTATCAGAGTACACAGTGTATTTCTGTTCAACATCGAGGTGCCCGCGGCTCTCTGTGGCCACGTGTATGTAAACGAGGACTGGACTACAACACTTAAAGACACAAAGCGGCAGAGATGGATGAAACTGTTTGCTATTTTACAAAGACTTGAATTAAAGTACATGTATATTTGAAGGAATTTTTATTTATGTTAATGTTTATTTAGTTCTATAAATAATAAATGGACATTCACAAGAGTGATGGTAAAAATAATATGTGCGTAGCATGCGTAGTAATTACAATTATTTACCGAAGCCCCCATTCAATTACAATTGCAGATGAATTAAAATACAACAACACGGGATAGAGTAATACTTTTTTTAAATGTATTGTTGCGTGAACAGACAAAAACAGCGATTAAAATTCAAAATGATTTTTATGCACCAGTGTTTGGAATTAAGATTATAAAAGATCGGTAAAGTAATCTTACTGATTCGATATAATTAAAAACATAACTTTCCATTAATTAATAGCTCTTTGTTATAAGCGATCACAAATACTAGCTTTGTTTATGGCCACAGGTGGCTAGTACACTGGTGACCTCGATCAACAGCGTGGGATTCGCGCGTTGGGTTACATAACTAAACATCGAGCTGAACATGGAGACCGTAATATGCATACAGCTAATGATCGTGAATTATTCAATGCATACAGTTTAAAATCACTTACAAATTTGTTGTAATAATAAACGTAGAAAGATAGATTTAATATTCTCCGCTTTTGAACACTATTAACCTAATTTAAAAAAGAAGAAAAGAAAGACTAGTTGTAATAAATAATTTAATAGTGAACCATAAACCACGTTTTAAACCTTATTAAAAAGAAAATTAACATTAAATACCGCAGGGTATATTATTGATAGCAAGTCTGTTTAAGTTATACACATGAAGAGGTGTGATTTCCTTGCCGAATGAAAAACGTTACCTGTTTACCTGGCCTGCTTTCTAATACGTATTACGCAATACCCATGGTATACTCGAACAAAACAACATTTTCATTAGATCAAAAAGGTGTAAAAGAACAATTTTGTTCCCAAGATCCAGATCGAAATATTTACCGTTTTTGAGTTATAAAGCAAAAACTTTTAAGGGCCCAAGATCCCTAATCGTAGGGGCCAGCCCCTTTTAGATAGTATAATATGAAAGCCCTTGCAATTATGCACAACTTTTGTTCTACATGTCTTAACAAAATATTTCTAGTTTTCAAGATATAAAGGAAAATATGTCAAATTTTTTGCTGTTTTCCGCGTTCTAACTTTTGACCCCTCTCTAGCGCCATTTTTAATGCAAAAATCAAAAAACAAAAACCGATGTGCACAACTTCAATGCTTCCTCTTTTCAATTTCAAAGGGTTTTGTGCTCCAATTAAAACCATTTCTGAGCCTTTGTCTGGAAATCGGAGGCATGCAAAATTCAATCAAAGGGGAATAACTCGTGAACAGAAGGTAATTTCCGAATTGTATTACGGTATTCTGACAGTGTTTTGTAAAGTCTAAAAGCTCTGAAAATTTGAACAAAATCTGTTTAAAAATGAGAAAGATGTGAAGCGTCAAAGTTGGCGTCTAGGAAAAAAAAAAAAAAAAGAATAATCTTAATCATCACAATCAGTAGAAGGTCTTCCGTTGGAAACGGAAGACCTTAAATATTAAGTCTTCCTTAAGGGGGCCGACCGGGGTTTAATTCATTGTGCAATATGTCGCTCTGCATCAAAAAATCGAGCGGTGTTTTTACATTTTTACAGCAACTATTATCACATAATTAATATCAAATTAAACAAAATTTTAAAATCACAGGTTGAAAAAATCTAATAATAATTTTTTTTTTCAAAAAAACTTCTTTTTTTTTAAATCCATTTTTCAAGTGATAAGTTGATGGATGTTGTAATAGTGTATTTGTTTCGATATGACAAAATAAAATTCAGTAAGAGGGGGTCATAAAAATGTTATAAAAGAAAAATATATGCTCTAGAAATTTTTAACACAGGAATTTGAAAATCAAAATCTCATAATTATTTTCTGATATTTTTTGAATAAATGTATAAATCATTAGTATCTGTCATATTCTATAGCTCTCCATAAAATCAGGTAAACATTTACATTTTGAGATGCCCCCTCTGGAAACCAGAGGATAGAATTTTGTGTTTCTTACGTAAAATATTGCACAATATAGTCTTACTCATCACATAATATAATTTGAGCAAAAAGTCTTGGAGTATTGTAAAATTTGCTTTGATATAGACAAAGTTAAAACTTATTGTCTAGTACATACTTGGTACCCACCACATGATATAGCCAGTACATATTATGAGGTCAATGTTCTTTACTATACAAGATTATGAAGGACATCGACAAAAAAGCTTCGGCACAAGGGCATGCTCTATTTTATTTAACTGAAACAAGGTATTTTTAGAAGCAAAATATTCCAAGGAGTGCTGGTATTGCTGCACAAATATCAACAGCTTAGTTGTACTATTTGTAAAGTTTTAAGCTGACACAGGGTAAAAATGTACAGTCCGGTATAAGTTTTCTCAAATTCTGATCAAATGAGAAAATGTCTAGGATTTGCGCAGCAGTTTTATTCATCTACAGCATATTCTTCTTAGCATTAGACAATTTTTATGTAAAATTAATAGGATAATCCCTTGCGCCGAACCTGTTTTGTTAATGTGTTTTATTAGTTCCAGTACGCAAGAACAATGACGTCACAATGTGTACTGGATATAACATATCGTGCCTGGGTACAAAGCATGTATAAGAAAAGAAATCAAAACTTTATCTGAATAATAAATATACCTCTTATGTGTTTTTATTAGCTCTTTTGCATAGAAATGCCTATACCTAGCCTTAACTGACATGTGTAGCACTTTCCTATATAATCTTATAGTAAATGTACTTGATGTATTACGAGACAGTCCCTAAAAAATTCCAGGCGATAGATTTTCCCCAAACTTAGCATGTACACTGAAGTCCAAGTATGTTTCATATGATATAAAATTAAAGAGTGTATTTATTGTAGTCATTGTAAAATAAAACCCTTGTTGGCTCCCTTAAATTAATCACTGCCAACAAGAAAGTTTCAGATTACATCTTATTGTTGGATCCAAGAGTAATAAATATGTAACACACTTTATAGAAGACATAAATGAAGCATTAGCCCAGTTTTACAGCAGCAAAGTCTCTACTGAAGCCATGCAAAGCATTCAATAAGATGTTAAAAAAAAAGTGTGGATTTGTACTTTAAAAATTTTTAATCATTGACAAGAAATCAAGAATATGATTATCACAGACAGATATAAGAAGTCCAAGCAGAGACTATTGTTTTCCCGAGTAATGTGGGGGACACATATCATTCTCCCGAGTACCGTGGGGGACGCTTCTCCTTAAAGGCCATCAATCCCTCAATTCTATCTTTGGTACTAATCACCTAGAAAATACCATGTTAAACATATTTATAGTAAACATTGACCTTATATCAGCACTATCTTTGGTACTAATCACCTAGAAAATATCATGTTAAACATATTGATAGTAAACATTGACTTTATATCAGCACCTTGGAAAACAACCAGAGCAAATACATAAACTTTAAGCACGATTATTATGTACTAGTATTTTATAAATGATCACATATTTTGAACAATAATAACAACACTTGTAAAGTATATGTATAAACTTTTTAAAAATAGTTATTTCTAATTGAAATTCAGCACTCTTTCTGTGGTCAGTACTATTTCATGCAACACGTTACATAATTATACAATCTTAATTCAATTAACTCTGGGATAAGTAAAGATTTTTCATCTCATAATTATTATAATCATGGCTGCCTTGAAACACATTCACTTTTATGGTTGCCTTGACAACAGTCAGTAACCGTGGTACTCAGGTTTCCTTTTTTCTAGCCATGCCTGCATTGCTTCTCTCCGATCTTTGGTAGGAATTACCTATGTTTAAAAAAATTTGAATGAATACTTAACATTTATGCATTTCTGCTTTCATGAATGGAGGTGCTGAATTCAAATTCAAATACACTTCCAGGCTAATAATTTCTCTGTCTCTCCCTCTCCTAATATACAGGTACAGTACTTAATTTGTTACCTCTGGCCTTCTTTCCCCTAACATGCAGGTATCCGGTACTCTCTACCCCTCCCTCACCTAACATAAAGGTATTTGGTACTCTCTACCCTTCCCTTACCTAACATAAAGATATTTGGTACTCTCTACCCCTCCCTTACCTAACATAAAGGTATTTGGTACCCTTTACCCCTCCCTTACCTAACATAAAGATTTGGTACCCTTTACCCCTCCCTTACCTAACATAAAGATATTTGGTACCCTTTACCCCTCCCTTACCTAACATAAAGGTATTTGGTACCCATTACCCCTCCCTTACCTAACATAAAGATATTTGGTACCCTTTACCCCTCCCTTACCTAACATAAAGATATTTGGTACCCATTACCCCTCCCTTACCTAACATAAAGATACTTGGTACCCTTTACCCCTCCCTTACCTAACATAAAGATATTTGGTACCCTTTACCCCTCCCTTACCTAACATAAAGGTATTTGGTACCCTCTACCCCTCCCTCACCTAACATAAAGATATTTGGTACTCTCTACCCCTCCCTCACCTAACATAAAGATACTTGGTACTCTCTACCCCTCCCTCACCTAACATAAAGATATTCGGTACTCTCTACCCCTCCCTCACCTAACATAAAGATATTTGGTACTCTCTACCCCTCCCTCACCTAACATAAAGATATTTGGTACTCTCTACCCCTCCCTCACCTAACATAAAGATACTTGGTACTCTCTACCCCTCCCTCACCTAACATAAAGGTATTTGGTACTCTCTACCCCTCCCTCACCTAACATAAAGATACTTGGTACTATCTACCCCTCCCTCACGTAACATAAAGATACTTGGTACTCTCTACCCCTCCCTCACCTAACATAAAGATACTTGGTACTCTCTACCCCTCCCTCACCTAACATAAAGATACTTGGTACTCTCTACCCCTCCCTCACCTAACATAAAGATATTTGGTACTCTCTACCCCTCCCTCACCTAACATAAAGATACTTGGTACTCTCTACCCCTCCCTCACCTAACATAAAGGTGTGTGGTACCCTTTACCCCTCCCTCACCTAACATAAAGGTATTTTGTTATATCTCTGCCACTTCCTCCCTTTACATAAAGGTTATGGTGAATTTTGTTACCTGTGTTGTTCTCAACCCTAACATAAAGGTATTCAGTAACCTCTAACCATTCATCCCCAAACAAACAGGTATTTTCATACCTGTGTCCCTCCCTAGCTCTAGAATAAAAGTGTTTTGTTAACCTGTGCCCTCCTTCCACTAAAATAAAGACATTTGGTAACCTCTACCCATCTTAACATAAAAGTATTATATATCTCTATCCTTCCCTCCCCAAACATCAAGGTATTATGTTAGCTCAGCCCTCCCTCCCCTAACATAAAGGTATTCTATAACCTCTTCCCCTCCTCCCCTAACATATAGGTATTTTTGTTACCTGTGAGTATCCTGCTTCCTCAAAAGACAGACCACTAGAAATATCCACCTGTAATGTCAAAGTCAGTGAAATTTTTTAATCTTGTGGAAAGAACAATTAATGACATTCATACCTGTTGTTCAGTCCCAATTCATGTCAAATTCAAAATCAAAAATACCTGTAAGAAATCTTGAAAGCATTTTTCAACAAAATTGATACACATAATACATGTAGTACATGTGTATGTTAATTTGTAAATGGATTGCTGATTTATTTCCAATGATATAAGAATACTCACATGTTTTAGTGAGATAAAAAATTGTATATGATTATATCAAATAGGATTATTGTAGAATTTGACATCTCCGAGAAAAAAGGCCCTGATGTAACCTGTAACTATAAGTGAATAATCTCACCTCCATTCCTCTATTGATAGCAAACTTGGCAGCCCGGAGTGCCACAGGACCCTGGAAATAGCAGAGATTGCTTTATATACATGTACCAGTGAACAGTGTTCACAAAAGGATAATTGAAAGCACACAATACACACACAAACCTCTATCATCTTAACAACTGTTCTATCCTTTCATTATTGTGTTTATTAGTTTTTGTTGAACCCTAATACTCTCATTGTACAGTGTAGTTTACCTGGTTTTACATACAGGTAGTTGATAGTGTAACAGGAAAGGAGAAAATGTATGGCTGGACCGGGAATCAAACTTGGGACCCCTGAATTACTAGTCAGGTGCTCTAACCACTGAGCTACCTAGGCCAATATCCATGGCCCAAACCATTACATCCCTCCCTCCTTAAATTGTCTTCGCCCTTGAAGACACAACCCAAGTTCTTATATTAGCCCCTGGCAGGACTTTCGCCTGCAAGTCCAGGGGTGGTCAACGGCACCAAATCTGTAACAGGAAAGGAGAAAATTATGGCTGGACCGGGAATTGAACCCTGCATTACTAGTCAAGTGCTCTAACCACTGAGCTACCCAGGCCAATATCCACGGCCCAACCATTACAATAGTATACTTTCAGTGCACATAATTATGGTAACCATATCTGAGGGAGGAATTTCTGGGCAGTTTTAGTGTATATGATTAACCGCTGTACCTGGGGGACCATCTCCTGGGCCAGTTTCAGGGAAGTATATGATTGAATACGGTACCTGAGGGAGGATTTCCTGTGCCAGTTTCAGTGTATATGATTTAATATGGTACCTGAAGGTGGATCTCTTGTGCCAGTTTCAGTGAAGTATATGATTTAATACGGTACCTGAGGCAGGATCTCTTGGGCCAGTTTCAGTGTAGTACATATGTATATGTTTTAATACTGTACCTGAGGGAGGATCTCTTGTGCCAGTTTCAGCGCCTGTTGATAACCAGCATCACCCTCAGAGTTTTGCTCCACACTGTGATTAACCACCCCCATCTGCTCTCCCTCCTTTCCAGTGAACATTCGGGCAGCAAAGATCAACTCTTTAGCCTTGGCAGGTCCAATGGCTCTGGTTAATCTCTGTGTGCCCCCTGTTAAAGTTATTCCATACATTTTGTACATTATATCACATTTACATATCTGTGATATACAGTCTGCACTATTGACTACTTGGATTATACTACACTGTTTATACTCTTAATATTTTGTGTCAAGAATTTTAACTGTAAAAATCTTGCTTCAATTTATTAAATAACACTGGAGGTTTGTTTTTTAGGTTTAATGAAGGTTTGTGACAAGTAACCTACTTACATGTATAAGTAAAAACATTTAATATCAATATACAGAAAGAAGTCTACATACTCCTATTGAAGCATCTACACTTGTCAAATAATATTTAACAGAAAAAGAAAAATTACTCTTGGATCAACTGACAAAAAACAGTTGTTCTAGTAAAAATTACCTTACCCCCACCAGGAATAATAGCCAGCCTTGTTTCCACCAAACCCATCTTGGAGTCATCAGCTGTCATAAAGGAATTACAGTGTATTTTACATTACAAAAGAAAAAAAAAACAAAAAATAACCCCAAGAAAACAAAGATTCTTTCAGTGGTTTGCAGATACAAAATTGCAAAGTTATTCGTTGTCTGATGGGTGACTTGTAATCATGATAGGATTCAAAGTAGCTACAATAAATAAAAAAAAGATATATTTAGTAAGCCTTACATGCTATTCTGATATCACAAGCTAGGGCAACCTCTAGTCCTCCACCTAAGGCGTAGCCATCAATGGCCGCTATGACAGGCATGGGGAGGTTAGCTACCTCCGAGACGCTTGCGCGTAATCCTGCCACGAACGGTCCAGTTTCTGCGTCAGTCATCTTAGCTCTCTCCTTCAAGTCCGCTCCTACAACATAGAAATGAGGATTTAATAGTTTTATAAGATTATAATTAACAATCACATAATTCAGGATATCTGAAAGGTCTACGCAATGCTAACACTGTGATGAAAGGAGATAACTTCTTACCTGCACAAAATACTCCCTTGACTAAACTCCTGAGAATTACGACCCTGAGAGATCTGTCAAATTTCACAACTTCTGCACAATCTGAAAACTGTTCAAATAATATTGCCTGTTAAAATATTAGCTTAGCAAACTGTCAACTGTTTGATATCATGATCTAAAACAATTACTTTTAAAGTAACATTTTGCCACATGGAACAAGCGTATATGTATTTGATATTTACTGCTCTTGAAAGACAATACTTGTGAAAAGTTGGTCTAATGATTTAGAATACATGTATTGCTATGGTATAGCATGTCTCTCATTTGAATTAATTCTGAGGTCCAAACTCCTGTCTAAACTTGCAGAGTTACCGGTACTTTGTATGATATATCAATGTAATCATGTATTAATTTATTGTGAAAAAAAGCAAATTATATGTTATTTGTAGAATAATTTAAGAATGCTGCAATGGCAGTTCAAGTGATTTATTTTTATTTATCGTTTTGATGCATGGTTACCACAGAAGATTAAAAAAAAATTATCATGCAATTAATATATTGAAACTTACATATTCCAATGAAAATATTCAAAATATTGAATTTAATCTATGTTTCTAAATCTCAAGTTAAATCAATGGATTCATACAATTGCTTGCATTTTCATATTAATTTGCCAATTGTATGCTTGTCAAGCTATGTTTAGAAATTAAGTATGTGTATGAGAGCGAGTTCCCCCATTTTTTTTTCATCAAAGGCAACTTCAGGATACATGAGGGCAAAATTAAAGATATTATATAAGAATATTATTTTCATAGTTTTCATTTGCTGAAAGGATGTTACATGACATTTGTACTTTTGTGATACATGTACTGACATGAAAGCGCGTCCATGGAATATGATATCGCACAATTCCTCGTTCGGCTGCACCAAAATTATGTAGAATGTGACGTCATAATATAAGAAGCGTGTTTTTACCATTGTCACAGTGACGTAATGACACAAGCTCTGTACGTTAGGACTCTGTCGAATAAATCACGCAAGCTCGGTCACTTTCACTTTCTATGTCTGAGGTCAATATCACTTGACATAAGTCTTTATAACCACATATCAACCTACATTGAAGTCCATAACTGTATATTATTGTTTGCTTGGAATTAACTCCCACCTCACTGAAATGACCCCTCCTGAAAAAAAGTTTCTTGAATAAAATTAAGAGAATTTTTTTCTTTAATCAATTCTTGGCCTATTATCACATGTGCCACCCAAACACTTTATCAGTGTTGAATCTAAGCAAAAACTGGGTTCTTAGTTTATGGGGGATACGTTTATAAAAAGTCAGAAAACAATGTGTTCTCTGCTTATTGATATTCTTAACAACAGTTTTTAATTTAACTTCAATTTTGAAAGAAAAAAATAAGCTCCCTCTCTCCTGTGTCTTAACAGCTGCAGATCTGTAGCCCACTGGTCCGAAAAAACTGCAATGGATGACCAGAGAGCTACAGTGCCACCCACTGAAAAAAAAGTATATTTATTGAGCAAAAAAAGTGTGCCATTTCTTGATTCATTTCTCCGTATTTTTAAACTACAATCTCAAAATATTACTAACAGTGTATTCCTAACATATTAATAGCCCTTCTTGGCCTGAAATAGAGACCATCCAAAATTCTGCCTGTTTATACTGCCATTTTGGGTGGCAAAACAATTCGGCAAAACATGCTTCTTAAAGATGGGAACTACAAGAGTATTTGATAGAGGTCTAAGGAATTTTTTTTGAAATCAAGATTTGTGCAGCTGGGGCAAGAATTTGGAAAAATAAATCCAGAACCTTGCACAACTTCTTGTGTGCAATAAATATACAGTTTTTTTTCATTGATCTCCTGCCTCTCCAGTCTGTCAATATTTTTTTTCTTTGGAGCTACAGTTCTGCAGCTTTGTTCTGAAATCCCCTAGACAGTAATTCCAAACAAGCAATTTTTTTAAAAGGATGACCTGATCTATAGAGATATCCATGAATATGAGACATCAAAGTTGTGTTTCCCATTGTATTCATAATAATGTCTATGTAAACCAACCGACTCACATCTTATATAAGAGCTATTTATCAATGTTTAGAGTACCAAAGTCCAAATGCATTACAGAGAATGGAAGTTTCTGTCTAGATTACCTCTCTCAAAAACTGCTTCCCCAGGGCATTTTTTGCTTCTGGTCTGTTCATACAAATAACAGCAATACCTAGAAAACAAACCATTTAATTTAATTGAAAGATATCCTAAGAGACAACTTTCATTGCTAAAAAAAAGATAATACTAATTATTATTATAGTGATACTAATTATCATACTAATTATTATTATCTATTAAAAAAAAAAAAACCATATACAGGTTAACTTCGGTATCTTGAACACCGATATGTCAAACACCACGGATATCTCGAAGTGAATCAACGGTCCCGGCCGTTTTTATTATATTTATGATTTAAAAAAAAAAAAACAGTATCTCGAACACGGAAATCTCGAATACCTCGCTTATCTCAAAGTAGATTTACAGTCCCAAGTGCTGTTAACACATGCGTTATCTCGAAGTCCAACAAATTTCTCGCTCCGAAGAATTCACACCTTAGTACACAATAATCCCATTATCAGGTCTAGGCGGCCTCTGTTTTTGGAGGATAGATTTTATCCTCTGAAAACAGAGGATAGCGGTCTTGCCACCTACCGGAATTTTCAAAACTAAGGGCAGTTAACTCTTAACTAAACAAATAACAACTCTTGCATTTATGAACCGTACGCTGATTTCGAAATCAAAACAACTAAAAGGTACAATTTTATATGATGATGGATAATTCCAGATATTAAATCAATATAACTGTATTTTTTAATTGCCGTCAATCAGTTATTCGGTATATACAGCTTGGAAAACAAATATTGCACTTACCTGCCTGTGACTGAGGTTAATAATATAACCATGCTGATTTTCCAGTTCCGTAATTATGTGATAAGCAGTTTAGAAATTTTGATAAACAATTTTTTTTTTGAAAAATTAAGTTCAATAATTTATTATTTCTTTCATTTAATAATTCTTAAGCACATCACTTTGTAAAATTTTATTTGTTTGTGTATATACACATGGCTGTATGAATATATGAAAATTTCTTAGTAAACATGTCAAATTATTTATTTTATTTATACTTATGCTATTCGAATTATTTATTAATTTTTTATAATTATTCATTCAATCCATTTGTACTTTTATTTGCTTTAATTATAAGGCAGAGTATATTTTGCGTTTTAAATACGCTTAAAATGCGTTTCCTTTTGTGTCTCCTTTTTTTGAATTAAACGAAAATATAAAAGAAATATTAAAGTCCTTTTTTATTTGTCTAAATAGGGAAAAATCATAAAAATAAAACAAAATAACAAGAAATATTCAGTAATAATGGAGCGCAAAAAGTGCTAACTTTGAAAATAAATTGCAAAATATCTAGACATAGAATCTCAAATCGCCACATACAATCGATAGTTTAATGTTTGAACTTTTATTTGCATGTACTCTGGTGCTTGCACTTTTTGATTAAAGGTAGGCACGAGGTGTTTGAAAATTACCTGTGTTATCCTCTTAAATCGGAGGATAAACTATCCCACAATGCAACGCGGTTTCCATATATGGAAAAAAATTCGGCCGCCATATTGAATTTAGCTATCCTCCAAAAACGGAGGCCGCCCAGACCTGATTATGCTAATTTTACCGTCTGTTGAACGTTTCCGTTAGGTCTAGCACATGCTTCGTGGGACCATTGCTGATAATCACACCTTATTAGCCCCAAGCTGTTGTTTTTGGTAGTTAAATTTAATTACGCAGGCCAGATGATTTAGAGGTGTTAATAAAATGCACACTCAGAGATATGATGACACGATAATGAAACAGCGGCTTGGGGACGATTACTGTAATAGGAATTAAAATTTATCAAAAATACACGCTTATACACATTATTACATATCAAAGTAAACACTGAACACATCAAAGTGATATTGAATTCAAAAAATTAAACAATTAGAGACATTATTTTGAGTATAAAAGTCAGTACCAAAAATCTAAATCTTCAGTACACATCATATCTGATAAGGCAATCTAACGAAGGACCCGGTAGCCAACCCGGATTTTCTGACCATGGTGTAAAAAAAGAAAACTTAAAGTTCATACAATTGAAACAAAGTTTGCTTTTGTTTATGCATATTGGCAATTTCAATAAATTGTTGTAGAACAATAATTCCTGTTTCCGTCTTAATCCTTACTACAGTGATCGGTTTATCATTTACAAAGCGTAACACATAATATCCAGGTATCAGATATCCTGAAATCAGCATGATTATCGCTATTGAAAGCAATCGAAATTTGTAAAAATTAAATGTTAGTGTTGCAGTATTGAATAAAATAATATATGCATTATAAGTGTATATGTAAATGTATTTTTAAAAAGATATCACAAAGTACGAACTGAAACATTTACCGCTTAAGTTATGCACGTGGTTGGTTGGTTGGGGGGGATAATTTCCTGTTAATAGAACATGTAACATAACAATATCGGTACCGAATTCATCAACTTCGATATCTCGAACACTCGGATATCTTGAAGTTTTTTCTCAGTCCCGCCAAGTTCGAGATATCGAAGTTTACCTGTACATACTATTAAAACTTTTTTTTAGTAGTTGGTATAGGTTTGTTTTGTTGTTTTTTTTTTTAAATAAATATTTTTTATAGACCAGGAGCAAGCCCCTGTGCATGTACAGAGTATTTACCAGGTCCAGTCCAAAGACTTTTTTTTACTTACGTAGCTAGTTATAGCTACGTGTACCTTGGTATTTAAACCTACATGTACTCCAGGTAGCTATTTTTACCTACTTTTTGCCTTACTTGCATTTTGTTCTCAAACGCAGGAACGGCCCAATATGGTAAGTACAAATTTCTTGATACATTCACACTGACAATGAATACGACAAAAATCTGGCAAAAAATGATTAATTTCTAACTTGTCAATTTTGTATCAATAACTACACCCATTTCCATTCTCTAGGAGCTACGGTTGAAAGTTGTGGAAAGAAGCCTAAAATGTCAAGATTACAAGTCTGTATTACTTTTAAAACTTATCTTTATGCATTCTTAAATATAAGGTTTTGGGGACGATTTTTCATGCATTTCCTCTCCATTTTCCCCATCGTAAACATCATAAAGTTTTCAAATTTACACCCCGAATTTTGCAGTGCACAAGTGCACGACATGATAAACAACAAGTATGACCTGTTTTAAAGATACGCTTTAATTATTATTTATTTTTAAAGACAGGTAAAAATAGGTAGAAGTAGCTACTTCAAGTAGGTTTAAATACCTATGTAGCTATTATACGTAGGTAGAAATAGTCTTTGGACTGCACCTGTTTACTGCAAGTGCTTTTATCATACCTTTGTTATCGCCGCTAAGATATTCTAATTTGCATTGTTCGTTGTTTTTCACACTATCTAATGTTGACAACTGTGCACGGCGAATGACACTCCCAAGAAATGATTTGCATCGTGCATTTCTGCACAAAACGTGCATTCGCTTCAAAGTAAAAGCCATCCCACCTCCGGAACAAGTGCTTGCGTCACTAAAAGTTAAAATCCTCACTCTTCGGATTTGCAAAGTATGGCCGCCTAATACTGTCTTCTTTTTTCAATGTATTCGTGCCCTGATTTTAGCAATTAAAAATTTTATTGAGCTAAAGTCAGGCAGCCAAAAATTAGCAACCCATCCACTGAGTTTGTACACAAAATCTGATTTGACCTCGCTTGACCATTTTTTTTCTGACTCGTATTAATTTATTGAAGATCAAAAAGTTATTGAAAATATCGAAAAGTATGAAATACTACTGAGTATCTCTGAAATAATAATGGAAGACTAGTTTAATAGATTTTTCATGGGAGGTTCGGGGGGATCAGGAATTTTTAGTTATAAAATTTCTGTGAAGTAAGGAAACACTGACCTTGGAAACCCCTCCCCCCCCGCGCCCTCTAGAAATTAAGGACCCCTTTTAAAACGGTAAGGAGTGTATAGGAGCATCATCTATCTCAAGGAAATTGACTCAGAAAATTGTCTCTCCCCCCCCCCCCCTCCTTCCCCTCCGAAATAGGATTTTCAGGTTCGACAGCTAGGTTAATTGTCTTTTTTTTCGAGATTGACATTTGTAACAGTTGATGTGGGAAACACCCCCCTCTCCCTCTGGAAAAAATTCCTTGACCCGCCACCTGTTTTTCAATTTTTTATAATACAAGAGAAAATATAGTAAATTCTTAATTGTTCAGTATTTACGAACATTTTGATTTTATTTTATGCAAATTTATTGGCTTTAATAACTTAAATTCTTATGAATTTTCTATAGATAAGTAATTCTATTTGCAGGGCCAGGCTTACTGACTTGTATGTGGTGGACATTTTTAAGATTTTAAATTGGCTAACTGAATTTGGGCCATATACATGTATGCATACACATTGTAATAACTTAATAAATATTAACTGATTTTTTCTTCAGTATACCCCTATATGTATTTTGCTATCTAAGTCTTGATGATATAAGATATTGCATGTCCCGTTTAAGCTACATGTACAAGAAATATCCTAATTTTATCATATTTTAACACTCGTCCTGATGCACAAACTACAGCATTATATATCCATACATTTATTTCACAGACAGTTCACTTGACGTGAGTATAAACATGTCAGCACCTTCTGAAGTACACTTCACTCATCAATGACATTGTGAGAAGATCCTGAGTGATTGTCATATCATCATATCATACAGGTTGTTTTTTTTTCTTTTTAAGAATTGCGATCCTTGATACCGACTTGACTGTACATGTAAATGTATACATGTACATATAAATAGTGCTAACTACATTGATTTCTTAAAAATTCTGGTGTCACCCCACTCCATAATTAATCAATAACAACATCTATTATACATTATATACTCTGTAGCACGTCCCTATTTATTCACTGCAATGAGTTGCATTGGGATAAAGTATCTGATTGATTTGTCTGCATGTTTACTCATAAAAATATTGTAGACATTAGTCATACCAATATTGTAGACTTTAATACCAATATTGTAGACTTTAATAGTCATACCAATATTGTAGACTTTAATAGTTATACCAATATTGTAGACTTTGATAGTTATACCAAAATTGTAGACTTTAATAGTCATACCAATATTGTAGACTTTAGTTATACCAATATTGTAGACTTTAGTTATACCAATATTGTAGACTTTAATAGTTATACCAATATTGTAGACTTTAATAGTCATACCAATATTGTAGACTTTAATAGTTATACCAATATTGTAGACTTTAATAGTTATACCAAAATTGTACACTTTAATAGTCATACCAATATTGTAGACTTTAGTTATACCAATATTGTAGACTTTAATAGTCATACAATATTGTAGACTTTAGTTATACCAATATTGTAGACTTTAATAGTCATACCAATATTGTAGACTTTAATAGTCATACCAATATTGTAGACTTTAATAGTCATACCAATATTGTAGACTTTAATAGTCATACCAATATTGTAGACTTTAAAAGTCATAACAATATTGTAGAATTTAGTCATACCAATATTGTAGAAACAATACCAATAAGTGGACAAAATTGGCAGTTCAGTATTATACTTTCTTCCAAAGAAGGAGCTTTAAGGTACTGAATTTTAGCATGTCTAAATCTGTGTGCTCAAACAAATATTGTAAACACAAGGAGTGCAGCATGTAACCAAGCCTTGTTGTCCAAGCTCAAACCAATACTGTAAACACAAGAAGAAGTGCAGCATGTGACCATGCCTTGTTGTCAAAGCTCAAACCACTACTGTAAACACAAGTAGAAGTGCAGCATGTGACCATGCCTTGTTGTCCAAGCTCAAACCAATACTGTAAACACAAGTAAAAGTGCAGCATGTGACCATGCCTTGTTGTCCAAGCTCAAACCAATACTGTAAACACAAGAAGAAGTGCTGCATGTGACCATGCCTTGTTGTCCAAGCTCAAACCAATACTGTAAACACAAGAAGTGCAGCATGCGACCATGCCTTGTTGTCCAAGCTCAAACCAATACTGTAAACACAAGAAGTGCAGGCTGTGATCATGCCTTGTTGTCCAAGCTCAAACCAATACTGTAAACACAAGTAAAAGTGCAGCATGTGACCATGCCTTGTTGTCCAAGCTCAAACCAATACTGTAAACACAAGAAGAAGTGCAGCATGTGACCATGCCTTGTTGCCCAAGCTCAAACCAATACTGTAAACACAAGTAGAAGTGCAGCATGTGACCATGCCTTGTTTTCCAAGCTCAAACCAATACTGTAAACACAAGTAGAAGTGCAGCATGTGACCATGCCTTGTTGTCAAAGCTCAAAGCAATACTGTAAACACAAGTAGAAGTGCAGCATGTGACCATGCCTTGTTGTTCAAGCTCAAACCAATACTGTAAACACAAGTAAAAGTGCAGCATGTGACCATGCCTTGTTGCCCAAGCTCAAACCAATACTGTAAACACAAGAAGAAGTGCAGCATGTGACCATGCCTTGTTGTCCAAGCTCAAACCAATACTGTAAACACAAGTAAAAGTGCAGCATGTGACCATGCCTTGTTGTCCAAGCTCAAACTAATACTGTAAACACAAGAAGAAGTGCAGCATGTGACCATGCCTTGTTGACAAGAATAAGTAAGGTCAAGGCAGTAATAATGATCATTTGAATTGCAATTTAGAGATTATTCTGGGTTAAAGTTTCATACAATAGATAGATAGATACTTAGTGGAAAGAGAAAATGGACAAATAAGATTGTGACATAGATATAATGTTCTGATGAACACCATCTCAATTCAATTCTTGAGAGATTGTGTTCATAAAAATTATAATTGAATTGCAGTGTCTTTTGTAACAGTGCAGACAATATCAAACTCTAGCAAAACCTCAATGGAAAATATCAAGATATCAATGCATTTCAAAATTTTATTACATTTTTATAAATATGCATTAATACTGAAAAAGAAAATATTTCTCCTACAAATGATTAAAGTAACACTAGTGCAGTTAAGTATACATTACAGTAAAATGCACGTGCCTACTGATCAGTATAAAACTAACCCTAGTACAGAAAACATACAATCATATACATCTTATGTAATTATTAAAAACACTATAAACCTAAAAATCAACGAAAATTGAAAGAGAGAAATATAAACAAGTGATGATAAATGTTGCTCACCTTAAAGTAATATCAGTAGACAAATAATGAAGTCCCCAAAATTAAAATATACAGAAACACAGTCTAAGTGTCTACATGTGTATAGATTGAGAAGCAGGTTGCATGTACGTACATGTATCCATTAATTATGACACAAGTCACAAAGTTAATTGATTTTTAAGGCTTATTATTAATTTTTTGAGTAAAATTTCCATATATTCACAGTATTAAATTCAGGGTGATCCAAAATATATGATACTACTGGTACTTTCATTCTCAATAAAGTTATCATCAATCATAAAACTACATTTTTCATTTATACATCATTTTAAACTGATATACATATTGAATCATTTCATGGATATACTGGAAAGCAAGAATAAACAAGATGTGTTTGTGAAACGCTGATGCCCTCGTATGGCAGCTTATGGTGAAGGTTAAAGTTTCTCAAATGCAAGTCAAAATCCAGGCCAAAAGATAAAAAAAGTTGGTACCCAAATGAAGGTCTTGTCTCAAGGAATATACCTGTGAAATTTGAAAACCCTAGCTGCAACTGTTCAAAAATTATGGCAAAGGTTAAAGTTTTTTAAAAGTAAATAAAACATCAAGGTCAAGGTCAAAGTTGTTAGTATCCAAAGGAAGGTCTTGTCACAAGGATTACATATGTGAAGTATGAAAGCCGTAGCATTAACCATTCAAAAGTTATGGCCAAGGTTAAAGTTTTTCAAAAGTAGGTCAAACTCCTATGTCAAGGTCAAAGGGTCAAAGTGGTTGGTATCCAAAGGAAGGTGATGTCACAAGGATTACATATGTGAAGTATGAAAGTCCTAGCTCCAACCATTCAAAAGTTGTGGCCAAGGTTAAAGTTTTTCAAAAGGTAGGTCAAAATCCAAGGTCAAGGTCAAAAGGTCAAAGTGGTTGGTATCCAAAGGAAGGCCTTGTCACAAAGAATATACATGTGAAGTTTGAAACCCCAAGCACCAACTGTTCAGAAGTTATGGCCAAGGTTAAAGTCTCATAAAATTTTGCAAAAGTGGGTCAAACTCCAAGGTCAAGGTCAAAAGGTTAAATATGATGGTACCCAAAGAAAGGTCTTGTCACAAGAAATACACATGTGAAATATGAAAGTCATAGCTCCAACCAATCAAAAGTTATGGGCAAGGTTAAAGTTGACAACAGACAGACAGACAAACAGACAGACAGGACAAAAACAATATACCCCCGGGATCTTTCGCATAATAAAAATAGGTAAACTGCACAGCACCATATACAGAAGAAATGCCAAAGCCATTTTTTGAAATTTTGAAATGTTTTATTACATTTTATAATGCAGTGTGGGAGTTTCATCATCCTTCAAAAATCAATTCATACATGATAAATGGGCATTACTACGCAAAGATATTTACATAAATTTCCATTTATTAAGTTTGATCAAAGATCAGATATTTTGGATCACCCTGTATATTATGATTCTTTCTTAAGTAAATATTTTGATAAATACTACTACAAAAGTTGTCCTAAATGCCCTAATGCATAGTCTTTTAGTTACAGTAAAATCTGGTTCTACTAAATCATTAGGGGCAGATAAAGTGACTTTGTTAAATTTGTTATAATCCAAAACTTCTGACATATATAAATACAAGGAGTAAACAGAAGACCTTGACGAGGTAAACATCGTTTGATACAGGTCAGTAAGTGTCACATAAAAACTGTACGGTTTGCATCAAGTTTTAAACAAACAAACAACTCTCTACATGATTTAATATGCATCTTTACAGTAGCTCGGCTAATTTTAGACTCTTCAGTGTAAAACACTTGTACACTGATGAGGAAGTTGCCGTAGTTATAACGATTAAATACGATAACAATGTCACAATGCAGGCTCTTGTTTATCTACATCCTGTTACAGTGTAAGATAGTAACAGTAGATCCCTTGTTTTCAGATTCCATTAATTAGAAAAATACCTAATCAAAGATTATGAAGCTCATATCCACAAATGTTATCTATAAGTAAGGCAATTAAAGTCTCATACCATTGAATGTACTGATATTGTGCATCTCTGTGGTAGGATTCATAGTTACCAGTACTTGGGAATGGACCTGCTTCAAAAACTATAACCTGCTCAGTTGTCCAGAATTAGTCGGCCAGATGCAGCATCTAAAAGCAAATCTGGTAGTGTGCATCCCTCGGTGCATCTTCAATGAAAAATTGGTCACAATAGGGGTTTTAACTACTTGGAGAGAGATTTGCTCCTAAAACCTTAGCACTGCATGACACGAGGCCTTAGATATAGCATTAGCTCAACTTAAGGTGAGGGAAAAATCTGTTAACTCAAATATTTTATTAATTATTGATTATGCAAATCCAAAAGCAGACCTAATGAATGGTGGATTTTATCAGAGTGCCTACATGACTAATGTACAAAGCAGAGATATATAGGAGATTCGGAAGCTTTGTCTCATTTAGAAGCTTCATAGCCCCCCTCCCTCCCCCAATAAAAAAATTAAAAAATACCCTTGTGTATTGATATAGTGGAGCAACAATGCTGCAACATCTATGCTATATTGTCATAAATTATGTTAAAATCATTTTAACGATGAGAAAATTAATCTAAATATGATAAAACATTTTCAAATGAATTCAATGTTGATTGTCTTGAAGATAATATCACACTAAAAAAACCCTTCCTGAGTGGAATTCTCTTTAAAAAAAATGAGCTGATTTGATTGTATCAAAATCAAGATGGAATGTTTGTTAGCTTATCGTATAGTATTAGTCTTATCAGAGAAAGGTGTGAAAGTGTAAAGTTGTTATAGATTATTGTTACAAGATCGGACTAACATTTCATAAATTAACAGTACTTGGACAAGTTGGATCAATATAAGTCCAAACATTCAAAATTGGACTGCATAGTTTAAATTACATGACTAAGTCATGATACAAACAGAGAATAATTCAGAACTATTATATACCTACACACAATGTGTGTCTTGGCTATATATAAACATCTGAAACAATATGTAAAGCTACATTGTACAAGAACTAAAAAAACACTCAGAGTATCAAAAATATATAAACCTAGCTCTGGGAATTCTATACCTATATACTTAAGTTTTTCCTGAAAAGCCTAGAAAGTTCTTACATTTTAAATAGTATAAAATACATAATATGCCTATGTGTAAATGTGTGGTCCTTCATGATCTTGCAGATAATCATTCAGGTCAGAATGTTTGAATTAAGAGAGGACTGATTAACTACTGCAACAAATTGAAAAATTGATATAAAAATAAATAATTTCTTTTCTGTTTTCTTAACAGTCATGCTTGGAATGTATAGCCATGGAATAAATGGGTTCTGAATTAAATGTTTTTGTAACAAAGTAATTTTTCTAAAAACTACAATGACAACAGTTACATAAACAAATTAGTAAAGTCATAAGAAAGTGTCAAAAATATAATAACAAAGATGTAATGATCAATTATTTGCAATCCCCACAATCACAAGAAACCTGAAATCAAACCATGATGCCTTCCTATACACACATAAGGTACTTTGACCTTATGAATATCACTAAACACCCAAGAGCCAGTACAACAGAGCCAATAAGATAAAATCTTTAAATAATCTAATGGCACCACAGGAAAGTTTGATATTAAATAACAATAAGTGAAATTTCATAAGGGACAAAGAAATATGTACATGTACATGTTTGGTCTGATTTGTAAGGGAAACAATTCACATTCTAAATGTTTGGCTGCAGACTTCCAAACTTGCATAAAAATTAATCAAATTGTCACCCCATCATTTAAACAAACGAAAAAAAAAAATACTGACAATACTGAAAATTTGACTCCTATCAATCTGAACCTCCAGTTTGTTTACACTCCATTGAGGAACTTTGAGAGTTTTTCAATGATGTCCTGCCGCTGCATCTCTGGTTTAGCGAGGACGTCCACCAACTGTTTAACTGTCATCCTCTGAGTCTGGTCCAGGTCCAACAGCAGCATTTTAGCCGGCTCCGATTTTGTTTCATACACCAAGATTTCTTCTACAGTGAACCCGAGCAACCCTACCAAAGAGAAACACATGTCACAAGAAGACACAATAACCTGTATATGTAATTGGTACATGTATAAATCTATTTCAATCTTATTGTACAAGAATCTGTGGTCAACCTTAGTTTTATTGAAATGAACTTTTCAATAATTCTCTGCCAACATTTTTCTGTATGTCTTGCTTGATTCAGTGCTTTACCTGCGAGACATCTCCAGTCCTTCTGTACATTAATCTGAAGGTTCTCGTAGACGTCCCTAAACACGTGGTAGGGGAGAGACTTGATGTACAAGGGGGCAGGTCCAGGGGTCTCAAAAGACTTATAGCTCTCGTTTGACCCCGTTTCTGTGTCCTGGTGGGGAAGTAGTTCATGGCGACCAGACTGCTGCTTCTTTGAGGGCTAATAAGTGTAATGCAGAATATTATACAGTGAAAAAAAAATTGAAATGTGTTAAATGGAGATACTGAACTCTTTTAAACATTTTTTGTAACTTAGTTATTTACTTTTGACCATGCATGTGCTTCTGCCAGTCTCATAAAAACCAGCCCATCTTCTATCATTGTCAATGATAGAAGAAGGGAGGCTGATTTTAATCAGACTGGTACTTCTGCACTAAATGACGGTAGAAAGGTCACAGATACTGACCTTGAGCCAGACCTTGACCTGGTTGTCCACCTTAATGTTGCCACAAAAGATGGGAAGCCCCTCGGCAAGGTCTAAAACATGTAGTTCCTCTGAGTTTTTCCGTGTGTGTTGTGCATAGCTACACTTCTCCTGTAGAGGGCAGGCTGGACCTAACACATATTTGACCTCTGACCCCAGGCTTGATTTGCATATTTCAGTCAGCCAGTCTAATACCGCATGCAGTCTTACATTTTTCTCTAGTCTGTAAACAAAAAACAAAAATAAATTGTTAATATACATCTCAATTTAAGGTACAGATAACAAAATAAAACACTTAATATTAACTTCCTGTTTGTCTCCACGGAAACAGAACAGGGTTAATCTCGTACAAATCCTGACAATAAACTGCACTGGGGAACTCAAGTTTGCTTCTGTATTAACGACTTATACTCACTACTTTATTAATTGTAACATCCTCTTTCCTCCAGGCAAGGTTACCTACTACAAACTATTGATCAATGCTGTTTTATTAACTCACCGTACACATCATGATCCCTTCATTGTTCATTAAAAAAAAAGTATTCATCAGGGATTTCCCCTACATAACCTTCATTAGTGTATGAACTAAATGTTTATTACCTATTGATCTGGATTCGGCAATATTTTTTCATTATCTTCTCATTCCAATTAATATGATGTTTATGAACCCAGACAGATTCTGGAGAAAGTACTGCTCAGTTTATCAGATTTTAAGATTTATCAATAATCATGTTTAATATCTTGTGAATGGTATGATTAGGGTTATCCCAAAAGAACAAAAAAACCTCCTGTGGACTCTTGCATTCTTCAATACAACAGATTTTTTAAATGCCAGTTTGGATTTGGTATCACTTGTGATAAGCAGAAAATGAGAGATAACACACAGTACATCTCTGAAGCCTAAAAAGAGGTCAGATGCAGAACCTAATTTACATGATTTAGCAAGCATAAGACCTGACCTTTTGAATTGTCCTTATCGAGTTAAGCAGTCACTTTTTATACAAGAGGCCCCAAGGCCACATTGCTCACCTGAGCACTTTGGCTAGAGAAAAGCAGGGAGGGGGCAAGATTTGAACAAACTTGAATATACAAGGGTTATCCCAAAATTCCGTATACTGAGCTCATATACTTTATAGAAATTAATGCATCTTTATAAGATTTTCTGGGTGGATAAAGTGTGTTTTGGCAGATATATTACAAAGTTACAAGATTACTTGAAAACAATTCGAGTAGCGGTAATATTTAAAACTGAAGTGTTGTTGTAAGATAAATGTCAATGGTTTGAAGAAATTTGAATCTTCATTATGTAATGAAGCTTTCACATAACTTTCATCTTTTCTGACCCAGTGCATGGTCATTGAGGAGGAAATTTGTAAAAGATGCCATTAAATTTTCACTTATTTTTAATCATGATCTTGAAAGGGGATGATTGTGGTCCTTCATTTGAACAACTTAAAACCCCTTCACCCAAAAATGCTTTGTGGCAAGTTTCGTTGAAACTGGCCCTGTGGTTCTTGAGAAGAAGTTGAAAATGTGAAAGGTTTACAGACCATAGTTGACACACAAGAGACAGATTCTGGACAACCTTCGATCAGAAAAGTTCACTTGAGTCTTTGGTTCAGGTGAGCTAAAAAGGTTTAACCAGTCACTTATTTAAAAAAGTAGGTCAAAGGCAGCATACTAAGCATGCTTGGATGTATCATGTGTGCATTTCAGTCTGAAATCACTAGTGACAAGCTAGAAACAGGTCTTAATGCTTAAAGCTACAAATGTACAAACAGACAACTGAAGGTAATTCTAACTCTTCTGAAGGGGGGACTTTTGATGTTTGCTCTACAGGAAATAATAGAATCTCTCTGTGTGTGCTTGGATAAGAATTAACTCTGTTACTACATTTAACTTTTATAGAGTGTGAAGCCATTGTGATTAGGGTCACAAATATTGAGCTGAAACTGTTTTTACGTTTTATAGAGTGTGAAGCCATTGGGACTCGGTTCATACCTATTAAGCTGAATCTGAATCCTGTCTCGGAGTTTCTCGTGGATCAGTGTGATTTCGTACCCCGCGTGGTGGATCACACAGGTGATGCTATTGGTCACCACCAGAGAGCGGGCATCACTGGCATTGTTCAGTCGGAACACGAGATGAAAATAGATCATGCTGGATATGTGTGGGGGGTTTCCTCGGAGCTGAAAATACAGACTTCCTGTTGTGTACTCGAAGGTCTTCTCTGAATACACTGGCTCAGGAATGAAACATGGAATAAAATAGTGGCTGCCATCAATTGCCTCTTGCCTGAAGATCAAACCAAAAGCTTGTAGTAAGAGCAGGACCTTGTCTGGACTGAGCTGTAGCTTCATACTCGACATGGAATATAGGTCAGTCTGAGGACATATTTCTGACCAATCAGACTGCAGGAAAAATCCTGAAGCAATGAGTTTGAGCCAGATTTGTTTGATTGCCTCATTTGATTGGATGATTCTTGGAGAGATTGTCTGTAGTTGGTGGATTCTGTCCAATAGGATATCAGGTCTTATAAAGAGAAGTTTGTCTAACTGGCTGATGCTGGATACAGGTAACAAGGCTGCCTCTGAAAAGCAATTATAGGTACACAATATATAATGGTGAAAATGTAGAACCACAAAAATACAAGATCTAAACAAAATCGTGTTTTCCCTGCTCAATAGACAAACCCCTTCCCCTGAATTTTTTTTTCAAAATTTAAAAAAAAAAAGGAAGATGGAAAAAAAATAACTAGAAAACAAACAAAGAAAATTAAAAACATTTTTTGGTTAAAATTCATTATGATTCTGTATTCTATTTTTTTTTTTTTTTACCATAATGCTTCCTAAATTTTAATTTGTAATTTAATAACCTTACTAAAATAGTATTATCCACCCATGCAATAAAATAGACATACACTATATGCACTAGGGAAGACTATATAATTTCTACCAGTAATATTTACTTATAAAATCATGTTAAAGGGGTTTTTAAATGATATGCGTACAACATTAAATTACCGTACAGTTTGTAGTAATTATTTGATTTCCATTTTTCAGAAGTTAATAGTACAAACAACATTACAGACATTTGACAGAATTTTCATCTTAAAGTTTATCTAATGGTAAAACAAACAGCTCTTGTTGGAACCAATCAAAGAAAACATAAGCAACAGTAGATTCCCCTTCACACGTCTTAATGCAGGGATCATGTGGATTGGCATGTAATCATGGTAATACTCAAAATTTAAAGTGAAATTTAATTTGTGATTCCTATATCGGTTTATTGCACTTTAGGTTGCTGTAAATCACGAAAGACTGCATATAACATATTTGAATATTTAGAACATGTGAATGTGCATTGTTCAATTTGTCTACACAACTCCTATGATTTATAGCTGGGCCTGTAAAATGCAAACAATAAACATCAAATAGCTTCACTACACATGGCAGATTATGGCACCTGTTCCCACCTCTGATGTTTTTGGAGGTCTGTGTTTGCTCTGCTCCAAAATTTGTATTGTTTAATGGACTTTTGAGCTTGAATACTGTTCGTTATCTCCATATATTTCATTTCACTTGTTCAGCTAAAATTCAATAACCTTGAATTTTTAGATAAATTTCATGGAGTCAAAGAAAAAAACAGGAGCATGGTAAACTTACTAGTAGACAAGATTTCTCCAAACTCCAGTAACTCAGTCCACACCACCTGTCTGATTCCTAGATCCGCCCCTGGTACTGTCTCCTGGAAAGTTGCCGTAAAATCATCCTCATCGATGCACGCCACGTCATTCTGTCTCCTCTGTTCTAATTGGTGGATCATTGCCATGGAGATGAGCAGGATATACTGTTTCTCCTGAATCTCACTGATAAATCTCCACACACTTGTCTGTACCTCCACATTTGGTCGTGCTCCGTTAGCCATGTGGAACAAATGTGGATGTCTTGGAACGTTATATTTCACAATCTGATTTCCATGAGAAGTGTAGAATAAGGTGCGGACTTCATCAATGGTGGCGGTGGATGCAATGTCAGATGAATCTACTCCTAGAAGTCCATAAGTTTGAATGGGACATTCGTACCCTACTGCTCCACGAATTGTGTGTATTGTGTTCTGTAATCGGTGAATTTCACAGGGAGGGGACTTTAACATTTTATCACCATCAAAACTCAACAGAAATACACTGGTCCTAGTGAATAAATACTGACAGCACTGAAGGAAGAATTTCTCATCATACACAATAAAGATCTCTGTGTTAATAGCTCCACAGCCCACACTGCTGGGGTAGGATCTGTCACTTGTATCACATTGGTTAAGGGAATCATTACTTGCGTGCCTGGCTCGCTCATCTATCTGTAGGAGTCGGTCATACTGAGACCACGGTTCAAATCCGACCTCTCCTGACCTCTCCATCGCCATGGTTGCAAACACTCGGTCAAAGAGCCTCACTGTATTGTCTGTGGGTAACAGGAAGTTGGGTAAAAGTAACTGCGACAACTGTCTGGCATTAGTGCCACAGATAAAAATCCTCACTTTGGGAAACTTCACTTTCATCTGGAAATCGTCAAGTCCACCTGATGTACCATCAGCTGACTGCAAACCGGGAACGAAAATCTGGACATGCTCCACCTTAGCACCAGGTGAAATGGGTCGGATTGTAAACCGGCTACTAGGATCTAGAGTACTGGGGCCCTGTTTAGGTTTCACTTGTCTCGGTTCACAGCTACCGGAGCTAAAGGTTGATGACACAGAAGACTTGGACATTGTACTGGGCTGATGTATGTAACCATCAGACCGACCCCCGACCTTAGCATTTACGGGGGAACAGCTCCCAGGGAGGGGGACATTAGATTTGACCGGCTGTCCAGTGATGTCAGTTAACATAGTGGGGGCTGAGATTGGGGAATGTGGGGGGTTGGGCTCCACAATATCGGGGCGGTGGCCAGTTTGGAATGACTTGTGTCGAGGTAACATTCCCTCTGGTCGCTGGAACACTACCTTAACTTCCCTCAGTCTCTCCAGCTTCTTCTCCAGGAACAGTGCCTGAGTTAATCATCAAAGAATTTGAGAATTATAAACCATTTTAATATGTGGTAACAGTTATATATTAAAGCTTTATTCCTTTAATGAATTTTACTATTTTTACAATACATTGCCAGCTGAAATGTTATTACAGTTTACAGATGTATCTTCATCTCAATTCATCGGACCATGAATAAACTTGGTAAATGTAAAATGATTTTATGACAATATATATCACAAAAATACAATTTCCAAGATAAAAACCTCTTTAGGGTTCGCCAGAGCATGACCGTCAATAGAGCGTATCCAGTCACCCACCATTAACTTGCCATCTGCTGGACCATCTTCTGTAACAGACGTCACCAGTGTGTACCAATCATCTGCATTCTGCCAAAATATAGATAATGACATGAGAACAAGTAGAACATGCGGAGCTCTAAAAGTGTAAATACCAGTGTTGGTAAGGCCATCTTTAAACAAGAGGCCCATGGGCCACATCGCTCACCTGAGCACATTGGCTAGGAAAAAAGCAAAAATCAGTACAGTATTGAAAAGTTTACAGGGAGGGGGGTGTTGAATTTTAAACTACCTGATGATGCTTTCATATCAATATAACAAATGGCTTTGTTGTTCTTGAGCAGCAGATTTTTTTCCCATATATTCATTTGTAAAAATTTGATCCCCCATTGTGGCCCAACCCTACCCCCGGGGGCCCTCATTTGAACAAATTTCATTCTACACTACCGAAAGATGCCTCCATATCAATTTGACTAATCATGGCTTTTCTGTTCTTAAGAAAAAGACTTTTTCCTATATATTCCTCTGTAAACTTTGATCACCCATTGTGGCCCCAACCTATCCCCGGGGTAATGATTTGAACAAACTTGAATCTTCACTATCTGAGGATGCTTCCATATAAATATGACCAATCATGGCTTTACTGTTCTTAAGAAGAAGATTTTTAAAGATATTTTCCTATATATTTCTATACAAAACTTTGATCCCCAATTGTGTCCCCACCCTACCCCCGGGGGTTATTATTTGAACAAATTTGAATCTTCACTACCTGAGGATGCTTCCATATAAATATGACCAATCATGGCTTTACTGTTTTTAGAGATATTTTCCTATATATTTCTATGTAAAACTTTGATCCCCCATTGTGGCCCCACCCTACCCCCGGGGGTTATGATTTGAACAAATTTGAATCTTCACTACCTTAGGATGCTTCCATATAAATATGACCAATCATGGCTTTACTGTTTTTAAGAAGAAGATTTTTAGAGATATTTTCCTATATACTGATATATTTCTATGTAAAACTTGGATCCCCCATTGTGGCCCCACCCTACCCCCGGGGGTTATGATTTGAACAAATTTGAATCTTCACTACCTGAGGATGCTTCCATATAAATATGACCAATCATGGCTTTACTGTTTTTAGAGATATTTTCCTATATATTTCTATGTAAAACTTTGATCCCCCATTGTGGCCCCACCCTACCCCCGGGGGTTATGATTTGAACAAATTTGAATCTTCACTACCTGAGGATGCTTCCATATAAATATGACCAATCATGGCTTTACTGTTTTTAAGAAGAAGATTTTTAGAGATATTTTCCTATATACTGATATATTTCTATGTAAAACTTGGATCCCCCATTGTGGCCCCACCCTACCCCCGGGGGTTATGATTTGAACAAATTTGAATCTTCACTACCTGAGGATGCTTCCATATAAATATGACCAATCATGGCTTTACTGTTTTTAGAGATATTTTCCTATATATTTCTATGTAAAACTTTGATCCCCCATTGTGGCCACACCCTACCCCCGGGGGTTATGATTTGAACAAATTTGAATCTTCACTACCTGAGGATGCTTCCATATAAATATGACCAATCATGGCTTTACTGTTTTTAAGAAGAAGATTTTTAGAGATATTTTCCTATATACTGATATATTTCTATGTAAAACTTGGATCCCCCATTGTGGCCCCACCCTACCCCCGGGGGTCATAATTTGAACAAACTTGAATCTACACTACCTGAGGATGCTTCCATATAAATATGACCAATCTTGGCTTTACTGTTCTTAAGAAGAAGATTTTTAAAGATATTTTCCTATATATCTCTATCTAAAACTTGGATCCACCATTGTGGCCCCACCCTTCCCCCGGGGGTCATGATTTGAACAAACTTGAATCTACACAACCTGAGGATGCTTCCATAAAAATATGACCAATCATGGCTTTGCTGTTCTTAAGAAGAAGATTTTTAAAGATATTTTCCTATATATTTCTATGTAAAACTTGGATCCCCCATTGTGGCCCCACCCTACCCCCGGGGGTCATGATTTGAACAAACTTGAATCTACACTACCTGAGGATGTTTCCACATAAGTTTCATCTTTCCTGGCCCAGTGGTTCTTGAGAAGAAGATTTTTAAATGATGCCATTATTTTTTCACTAATTCCTAATTATCTCCCCTTGAAAGAGGGCTTGGCCCTTCATTTGAACAAACTTGAATCCCCTTTACCCAAGGATGCTTTGTGGCAAGTTTGGTTGAATTTGGCCCAGTGGTTCTTGAGAAGAAGATGAAAATGTGAAAAGTTTACAACAACAACAACAACGCCAACGACAACAACGACGACAGACAACGGACAAATTTTGATCAGAAAAGCTCACTTGAGCCTTTGGCTCAGGTGAGCTAAAAATTGTTTGTTTGCCCTCTCCTGACTGACTGGCTAAAAATGGCTCAAAGCTTTTTTTAACCTCCATTAAACCATAATTTTTTCTTTTCATTTAGGAATTTTCTCATTCTGTCAACAAGTATTTTAATTTTATTTTAATATATTTTGAAAATTTAGCATTTATGTTGAAATTATCGGGGAAAAAGAATTTTCCCACCTACCTCCCGATCCAATTTTTTTTTACCCCGAGTCGGGAGAGGGCAAACAGACATTATTTTAAAGATGGCCTGATGAAGAAAATATTATGAAAGTCTAGGAACTATTTTAAATCTGGATTCTAAGATGCAAGTCTAATAACACTAATGATAAATTCAAATTGCTAAGCTTACATTTTTGAATTCCTTGACTTTGTAAGAGAACCCGAACTTTCCTTGAGATGACGTTTTTAAGTCCACAGCTTTAGTTAAGCAGTCCCACTTCACACGATGAGGGTACTTAAACAAGTCCTCATAGCTCCCCACAAAGCCCACTGACTTTGCCCAAGAGTTACCCCCTTTATTGGTTAGATTCACATGATTGTGTCCAGTACAGTTGTTGTTTTTACATTCTTTGCAGACCCCCGAGCCCACAGGCATCGAGTGATAATGTTCCTCTTCCACAGGGTGTCGTTCTGTCATTACTGGCACTGAGCACACTCTTTCCTCATAACAACTGGCCGTGTTGAAGTGTTGGTCTACCTGTGAGCCTACTCGCTGTTCTCCTGCGAGTAGTGAGTCATGCTCGCTGGATTCTTTCTCATCGTTCTCCACACTGTTGGACTTGATCATCCTCCTCATACCGCTGATTTTCTTCCTGACTTCCATGGAGTTGGATGACTCGCTCGAGTTTGACAGCTGAGATCGAGTTCTTTTGTTGTTTTTTAACACATCACAGACGACTAGTGTAATTGTGTAATCTTGGATTGAGTCTATAAGACCAAACACCTGGTCTTCTGTCAGTCCGCGCACGTCATTCCCGTTTATACTGACCACACACTCAAACTGGGTCAGATGAGAGCCACTCACGAGGCGACACACCGGCTTCACCTCTGTCACAATACAGAACGTGTCCGACTCACCGATGTTCTGTAATATAAAAACAAATTTCTTGAGAACTCTGACTTTTGTAAGAAGGATAATACAACTTCTGAATCAAAATAAAGCAAAAATCCTTGTGTGGAAGGTTGAAACTGCTGATATACATGAATATATTACTACTCTAGATACATTTTTTCACAGTCTAACTGCAAACTAAGATGTTTAAGATACACGTACCATGGAATTATAACGTGTGGTGATAAAGCCATTGCTCCCCATCACTTCTACATATCCTTATCACAATATAACGTAGTACATTAACATGTACAATATCCTAGGTTTGTTCCCTGTCTTCAGTTTGCATACGTGTACTACACCACAGTGTCCCTATACTTCATACAATGTCATACTGCATGTACATACGTGTACTACACCACTGTCCCTATACTTCATACAATGTCATACTGCATGTACATACGTGTACTACACCACTGTACCAATACTTCATACAATGTCATACTGCATGTACATACATGTACTACACCACACTGTCCCTATACTTCACACAATGTCATACTGCATGTACATACATGTACTACACCAACGTCCCTATACTTCATCTATGTCATACTGCATGTACATACATGTACTACATCACTGTACCAATACTTCATACAATGTCATACTGCATGTACATACGTGTACTACACCACACTGTACCTATACTTCATACAATGTCATACTGCATGTACATACATGTACTACACCACTGTCTCTATACTTCACACAATGTCATACTGCATGTACATACGTGTACTACACCACCGTCCCTATACTTCATACAATGTCATACTGCATGTACATACGTGTACTACACCACTGTCTCTATACTTCACACAATGTCATACTGCATGTACATACATGTACTACACCACTGTCCCTATACTTCATACAATGTCATACTGCATGTACATACATGTACTACACCACCGTCCCTATACTTCATACAATGTCATACTGCATGTACATACGTGTACTACACCACCGTCCCTATACTTCATACAATGTCATACTGCATGTACATACGTGTACTACACCACTGTCTCTATACTTCACACAATGTCATACTGCATGTACATACATGTACTACACCACTGTACCAATACTTCATACAATGTCATACTGCATGTACATACGTGTACTACACCACTGTCTCTATACTTCACACAATGTCATACTGCATGTACATACGTGTACTACACCACTGTCTCTATACTTCACACAATGTCATACTGCATGTACATACGTGTACTACACCACTGTACCAATACTTCATACAATGTCATACTGCATGTACATACGTGTACTACACCACTGTCTCTATACTACATACAATGTCATACTGCATGTACATACATGTACTACATCACTGTACCAATACTTCATACAATGTCATACTGCATGTACATACATGTACTACACCACTGTACCTATACTTCATACAATGTCATACTGCATGTACATACATGTACTACAGCACTGTACCAATACTTCATACAATGTCATACTGCATGTACATACGTGTACTACACCACTGTACCAATACTTCATACAATGTCATACTGCATGTACATACATGTACTACACCACTGTACCTATACTTCATACAATGTCATACTGCATGCACATACATGTACTACAGCACTGTACCAATACTTCATACAATGTCATACTGCATGTACATACGTGTACTACACCACTGTACCAATACTTCATACAATGTCATACTGCATGTACATACGTGTACTACACCACTGTACCTATACTTCATACAATGTCATACTGCATGTACATACATGTACTACACCACTGTACCAATACTTCATACAATGTCATACTGCATGTACATACGTGTACTACACCACTGTACCAATACTTCATACAATGTCATACTGCATGTACATACATGTACTACACCACTGTACCTATACTTCATACAATGTCATACTGCATGCACATACATGTACTACAGCACTGTACCAATACTTCATACAATGTCATACTGCATGTACATACATGTACTACACCACCGTCCCTATACTTCATACAATGTCATACTGCATGTACACACGGTGTCATTACTGTACACAATGTGCACAGCCAATTGTTTCTAACGTTAATTTAACCTGAAATTAACGTAAAATTAACTACGGTTACGACAAAGATCAAAGAGATGCTGCAGCCATTATTCTCCAATAATTCACAATAAAATTTAAATCAGTTTCCTCTAATTGTGAACGTGTTCACGAGGAAAATGAAAGAGATATTTTTCGATTGTGACACAAATTGGTGGGAAAAATTTATTTGGGGACCAGATTACCTCGCACGTTTTTTAATGTTTGAGATACAAATGAAAGAGGAATAGCATTCAATAGTGACATCATTATAAGACACAAAACTAGCTTCTACATCTCTCTATATACAAGTTTAAATATTTGCCGTAGCAGAATAGAAATAATTCCCTTGTCATTGGAATTGTTGGAGAATATACCCCTCAGTCTTGAAGATTCTGTTAGCAAATAAAAATCTCGCCCTTCGGGTTTGGTTTTTATTCGCCAACAAAGTCACTCAGCTATCAGGGTATATTTTCCTAAAATTCCTTTGACACAAAAATTATTCATTAATTCTGCTACAGTTATTGCATTATATAGTTAAATATCCCATCATATGGCATGCCTAGACAAAAAGTATGCTAAAATTTCAAGCATGTGATGAGTAGTTGCTGAGAAAACTGCGACAAAAATTTGTTACAGACAGTCATACAGCTACACAGACAGACACACAAGGGTACAAAACATTATACCCCTCTCTCCTTCGGAGCGGGAGTATAATTACTGCAGATCATCAAATTAATGTCAGACCATCAAATTTTGCAACACCTTATTCTTGCGAGATAGCTATAAGGTATTTGATATTTTTAAGTTGGACAAAATTTTCATGAATTCTAATTATTGCTGTTAATAAGCTACTAATTAATAAATAAAGATTCAGAATGAAATTTTTGTGAGCAGAATGTCTCACGTATTTACACAAATAAAAGTAAAATGATTTACAGTAATGTTAATCGATATTAACATTTAAACATTAGACACTGTGTACCCAGTACTTGACGAGCTGTACTACATCAATGACCCTTCCTTCATAAAAAATATACTCTTCTCAGAGTACAAAGTACACATTCTCTACTAGTGTCCCTTCACTTTACACGTAATACTGATCTACTCCCATAAGTACATGCTCATTGACAAAATAGGAAAATGTGATCTTCTCATAATAGCTATAAGCTACTGTAAATTTAACCAAATTTTCATTATTTCCTTATTTTCACAAGAAAGATATTGGGTATTTATAAGCAAGTGTAAATTTTGATGAATTTTAATTTTTGTTGAATATTTTCTTTAAGATTACATAGATATTTTGCTAGCAGAGATAACATGTACAGGAAAGGTATACTGGCAGTTCTCACAAATAGAGGGATTTACAGTTTTAGTCCTTACACTGATAGATCAAATAATTACAGCAACTTGGCACAAAGCTCACTGGAAGCCATGTTATCAAATGAATGGCTCTTAAAATTCTCTGTACACAAACCCCCACTGACCACCTATATAAAAAGAGCTTGAGGACTATAATGTTTACATAAAAATCATCTTTCATTTCAGCAGAGGAGGGACCTTCGAGTAGTAGCTTTCTCCATTTCAATTTGAAACCATTTAAATAAGACAATGAGTATTTATTTAAATAACATGTTTAAATTGTGCAACATGCTGTTGATATGGAACTCTGCCAGAAATTAAGCCCCCCCCCCCTTTTCCCCTATCTACTTGATGCTGTTGTTTGAATTCAGGATCATGACAAATTATGCTTCACTTAGCCCCAAACAGGAAGTCTGACGGAAACTGAATTAATCTTCAAACAGGGATCTCGGAGGCTTGTGTCTGCCACACGCTGAGCAGCTGTTCCATGTTTACTTTTATTTTTAATTTCATGAACTTGACAATATCATAGGCGGCCACAGAGAATTTAATATCAAGTTGTTACCCCACTTAACAGCTACCCCTTAGACTGTTTAAAAGCTTATCTCAGCGAGCTTGTCAATTGGCATGTCAGTTAACGTTACATAAGGTTACTGTGTTCTTTCTGATTAAATTCAACTATTTGAATAAAATAATAATGTTGACTATCTGATAAACATGATAAAATATTATATATTTTTCAAATGAAATAATTAAATATTCCCCAAATATTGTATCCTACTAATTTAATTTTTAAAAAAATGTTCTTTATTAAATGATATGCCAAATCTAAAAGTTTTTCCTACAAATACATTACATTAATGCAAAAATTCAAGGCCAGGTTTAAGCTCTATATAGGGTGAAGTATGATAAAACATTGGTCATCTTTAAAGGAGTAAACGTGTCATTTACCAATGTCAAGGTCAAACACAAGGTCAAAGAACATGATGATCAGTGTGAATTCTCATCAATAAAAATAAACATTTTATTTACCAGTTTAAAGGTCAAAGGTCAAAGTTAAGTACAAATTCAGTGGTAGTGGTGAAACATGTATTTGTAACATTTCATTCTGATTTACTTATACATGTAATTAAGAAGATATTGATCATGGTACATGTCATAATTAACAGATATGAATGATTTTTTTTCTCATTTATAATCAATGTCATGTATAATAAAGGGTCAAAGTCAAAAGTCAAACGATGACAAACAGTCAACGCAATGGCATTACATTTCAATCATGTCATAGTAAACATTTGTGAAGCCTGGAGATTTTACTAGAGCGTAGAGGTTGCTCACAGCAGTGATGCACGTAACAAGTACCAGTAATCAAAATTGTTGACACAGACATCATTTGAAAGATTTCACTATGTGATCTGGTCAAACATTGAACAAACAATGTATCATCACTCACTCTGGATGAGACACCAAACACACATCAGTATGTAACATACACTCCCCGTCAGCGCTGTACTTGACATCATTGCAATTTTCAGAAATTGGTAGGAATTACTTATAACTGAAGTAGGATCTGATTTGTTGAAAGTTTCTGAAACCTTAAAAACTTTAGGAAGTAAATGTCATAATTACAAATAACATCCCTGAAGTATGTGACAATTATTTCCTCTCTTTCAGTAACCATTTTCCACCCACAAATTTTAGAATGAGGAATATGTTCTATCAATGACAATATTAAGTACAGTAGTAGAATTCTACTGTGGCTCAATATCATGGTTCCTGTGAACTCCTCGTGTAACTGTGTGTCTACAAAGAACCTTTACTGTGGCTATGGGGCAATAAGGAAGGGATTTTGCTCAATAATTAATAGTCATCACTATGATCATGATGATAATATTAAAATGAAATTTTAATTCTCTCTTTGTCTGGTATATTAGTCACAGTTTACAGTTCATCACAATTATTTAATTTTTCCATGTGTTTTCATACAAAGTACAATAACACAGTATCTCATCTCCTTTACAAGTGAAGTAAAATTTTTTCTCACCCCCCCCCCCCCAAAAAAAAGGTTAATTGCCCATTCTGTATTAATAGTGGTAACATCATCATTACAAAATGACTTGCAGGGATTATTCATCAAAATGAATAGCTTGTTGATATTCTCCAGTTCATCATTGTGCAAAGGTGGCCCAAGGGCCCCTAGAGTGATTGATTTAAAGTCTTTTATTCAGACACTCACCTGAACTTTGAGTTTGATTCCGAGTTTTCCAGAGGAGCCTCTCTGAATGACAACTGTATGAGTGTTTACAAATGGAACATGTTGTGACTTGAGAAGGTCTAGAAGAAGTAGGTACTTGTGAATCTCTGATGGGGCTGACCCCATACCGCCAACGTGGTCACAGCATCACATCACGTCTGTCTGAAAATACAAAACAGTGCTGTAATCTATCACAATTATGTCAAGTCTGTCTGAATTAAAAAATAAAACACCACCATAATGCAACACAGTTACAGTAATGTAAAGAAAATTGACAATCACATAGTCATGAGCATGGTGAGGAGTTTCATCCTTTTTAAAGTTATAATTCTGGCCTCAAAGTACAAATTTAAAATACATGTATTCACAATCTAACAATAAAATTATAAGGAAATTCATCAATAATTCACTAACAGCATATTATTTAAATTATTATATAATTTTTAAATGCAGTGTAACAGGAAAGGATAAAAATTTCAATGGACCAGACCAAGATTTGAACCCAGGCCCCCTGAATCTCTGGTCAGGTGCTCTACCAATGGAGCTATCTAACCACTGGGGATCGAACCTCCCTGATGGCCGCACCCAGAAAGAAAAAAAAGTGAATACACAATGACATGTATGAATTTCTGTTCATCCACAATCAAATTCCTTGGCACATGCACTTGTAACACAATTCAGAAGTGAATACATAAGCCGCATCCCTTCAGTTGTTTTACCTGTGATTACCTGGATAACGACTTCACCTGTGTGCACCTGTATCACTGAATCACCTCTGTAAAGAAGTGGGGGTCAATATCCGACCTGCCTCTTACTAAGCAAATGTTTCCAGTGGAAGCTATTGACAGACATTGATTTAGTTCTAGACAAAGTCTGTTATAAGGGTTTTAAAACCTGATCATTTCGAAAATATCTTTTTATTTCTATAAATTTTTAATGCACCTATCCCACGCTGTACATGTAATGAATAAACTGATGCACAACTTGTCAAGTAGATACATGTTATATGACCAAAATAGACAGTTAATAATGACACTGCAGAAAATAATTAACATGTATTCAAGCCTGCCTATTGAAGCTTTCTACATAATTTTAAAATAATGAGAGTGAAGAATGCATTTATAGAGATATTAAGGACATTGGCAAGGTTCCTGGTTATTGTACAGAATTTTTCAAGAACTCTTGAGTAGGTTTAAATGTATTAAACAGGTTATATTCTTGATCGTTTAACCTACCAAGCCAACCTTCCTTTTTAGATTTTGTCAAATCAGTGTTTTTGGAATTCTCAATGCATTTCCTATGTAAAATGTTGATAAAAGGGACCCACATAATTTTTCACCATAATATTTCTCCAAAACCACTTATTTCATATAGTTTTTGTATTATATACATTACTGTATCTTCATTTCCTATGACTTCTAGATATTTTGGCTGAAAATGTATATAGAAACAAGACAAGGACATACCGGCACCGATCTTTACTTTTTAGTTACTTCCCTTAACCATGTTAACAGCTATAATTACATATTATTCATAATGGTCCATAGAGTCAGACTGGTTGATTGTTTCTATCATGCAATTGACTGAATTGATTGAAACACACTGCCATAAAAATATTGGCATGGATTTATTTTAATCTTTATTCGTAGTAAATACTAGATGCTGCTTCCTTCATACAACCTAAGAACTATCTCAGTCAGTCTACCTTTCAGCATGTCACATCTTTGCCCTTCCCAGCATAGTACATGTAGTACTGAGCATAACTATGGTAAATGACGACCTGTTGGCTCTTTGTCCCCTGAATACAATGTACCACAAAGCCATTGCTACTTTTTTTTCTTACTGTATAGATGATTCTACCCATTGAAGGAAGTACGCGTGCTTTTGTTTACCTCTGTAACATAAGCTTTATTGGTTTTCACCGCTTAGAGAATTCTACACGGGAGATCACTCTCAATCACTATTTCAAAAGAGAAAAAACCCATGTATTAAACCTTTTTTCTCCGAAAAACCCTGACTTGCCAATGTCCTTAAAATAATTTTTCCCCAGCTTAACTGACACAAATAAACAGTAGTATAGTCCATCCTTACACTTTTAGTTTAATATGTGGACACTTGGAGGGGTAATATGGAAATATATGGGGTCCTTGACATTTAACTTCATGCATGGTGCATTTTGATAAAAATAAGGCGTAAGCCGAGATCGCCCAATATCCATTTTTTTCAAGGATCTCGTATATTTTTGTTATGCCCCTTTAAGGGTCCACTTTACGAATTTATCCTGTCAATGATTCTTTTTTTTAAAGTTTAATTTCTCTAAGCGAAGCAAACTGTTCCATAAAATTGTTTACATTATTCACATTTAAATCTGGGGCCTATGTGATGTCATTTATTGTGCCTATTTGATGTCAGTTATTGTGCCTGCGTGATGTCAGTTATTGTGCCTATGTGATGTCAGTTATTGTGTCTTATATATGTGATGTCAGTTATTGTGCCTATGAGATGTCAGTTATTGTGATTATGTGATGTCAGTTATTGTGTCTAATATATGTGATGTCAGTTTATTGTGTCTATTTGATGTCAGTTATTGTGCCTATGTGATGTCGGTTATTGTGCCTATGTGATGTCAGTTATTGTGTCTATGTGATGTCAGTTATTGTGTTTTGTATATGTGATGTCAGTTATTGTGCCTATGTGATGTCAGTTATTGTTCCTACGAGATGTCAGTTATTGTGACTATGTGATGTCAGTTATTGTGTTTTGTATATGTGATGTCAGTTATTGTGCCTATGTGATGTCGGTTATTGTGCCTATGAGATGTCAGTTATTGTGCCTATGTGATGTCAGTTATTGTGTCTTATATATGTGATGTCAGTTATTGTGCCTATGAGATGTCAGTTATTGTGATTATGTGATGTGATGGCAGCAAAAAATGGTTTTATACTGTATAGTATTCTTGACCAATGAAATTTCAAGATTTTTATCAGAGGCAGGATAAAGTATATTATATAGTTCTATAACATATATATCTACCTACATGCACCTGTATTGTATAATTTATGTAAATAATGGGTTGTTGACCTGCAGGGCACATAAGTGTACTCCATTCTTCATATATATTGATCAAAATAAATATGCATACTAAGTGCATTATACACATCACATGTATGTATATATATACATACATGTCGTACTGATGAAATTAGAAAATTTAGCTGAAAACTGATCGTGCAAACATTATCATGATTATAACATGTATATAAAGCTTGCAGCTCATTGATGTTATAGATTGAAATAAACATATCATCATACCATCTACAACATGTACAATAAAATGAGGCTGATATGTTATATACCTGCATAGCCTGCGTTGACAAAATCACTAAAAATCCCAAAAATATGAGAGGGAATTTCACTCAGAGGCAACACAATTCCTTTACTTCAGTAATGAGTCCATTACACATACAGCAAACAAAGCTACCAACACATCAGCCGGAAAGAGGGAAATTTCTTCCTGTTTGGAACATCTCCACCTCCTTAAGTAGGAACCTCAATATCCCTCCATCCTCTCACTAGTGTGTACACAAAGTTACATCTTAAAGGCTATTAAAGTCTTTTATCTAACATCTGACCATGCTAACTGCAAAGAAGTACGCTTATATCCTAATAGTTCCTCTACGTACGCTAACAGCAAAGTAGAAGACCATTTTAATAGTACTGACTCAACTATAGGAAAATCAGGACAACATACAAAACTTCACAATTAATAGCAGAAAAAAAAATATGATATACACTTTTGTTTTCTTAGTCCAAATTATAAACAGTAAACATAGTGAATGACTTGTAACACGCCACTGCACCTTGTTTTAAGTGTTGAACTTACACCACAGAAAATAATTCTGTAGATAAACACACTTGGGTTTCCCTCAGTTTATCTTGTATATTATGAAGTGTATTTACTCATTACTAACATATAATTATGCAACAGAAATTGTCTTACATTCTTTTATTAGGACAGTCCAACTACTATAATATGGCAGGATCATGCAGATCATTAAATAGCACAGAAAATTGCTCCTGCATGTGTTGTATCCATTTGGCATTTCAGGTTTAGTAATTGTAAAAATAAATGTCTATAATAATATTTGCTACCAAATTAATTGAATTTATTCAAGACATTTAAGCAAGTCATCATTTAATTTGTCTAAACTACATTTAATATAAATGTCTAGAGTACATCAAATTGAAAGTAACATATATTACACAATACACATGTTGTATATTATTGAGACAAACACACAAGAATGTCATCCATTATAATTGTTTTAAGTGTAAATTAAAGAAAGAGAATGATATACAGAAAAAAGCTTTATGTTGAGGAGTTAGTCAGAGCTTTGCATGCTGAAAGAGATTGACAATTTTTTCCCCACCCTATGTATATACAGAAATTTCAGGTACTTCCATGACAAGAGAAAAGATTTTGACTGAGACTCTTAGTAAGTTAGCTACTGGAACTTTAATCTATAGAGAGAAGTTCTCAATCCCTCAAAGTAGAGCACCAAGTCCTTCCCAACTTGATCCCCTTGTTAAATCAACATGATCATATTGACAAACAAATTACATTGTACTCTAGATCCTTTGATCTCACTCCTAGGTAAAACTGAATCCCTACCTGGGTGTAATTGTTATGATGGTGAACAGTAAGGGATATGTGTTCTCAGACTGATAACTGTATGTTTATAAAAGACACTTGTAGATACACATGTTGATTACTGTTAATTAACTGGATGATTACTCATTTAACTAACCATCAAGCAGTCAGTTAATACTTGCCATGTTACTATTAACACATGATTAAGCCACAGTGTAACTGTTGACATGCAGTCAATAAATGCTTTTAAACAGAAACAAATAAACTTTCAGACTGTCACATATATGGTAAATGTTTGCAATATATTCATATCAGCTAACCAGTCAAGTTTGCAACATATGTAAATTAACTATTATCATAAAGTTAACTGTCATGCAGTCAGTAACTGTTTGTAATAATTAACTAAAATAACTGCCATGCAGTCAGTAACTGTCTGTAATAATTAACTAAAATAACTTTAATGCAGTCAGTTACTCTTTGTAATAATTAAGTAAAATAACTTTCATGCAGTCAGTAACTCTTTGTAATAATTAACTAAAATAACTTTCATGCAGTAAGTAACTCTTTGTAATAATTAACTAAAATAACTGTCCTGCAGTCTCTAACTGTTTGTAATAATTAACTAAAATAACTTTAATGCAGTCAGTAACTCTTTGTAATAATTAACTAAAATAACTGTCATGCAGTCTCTAACTGTTTGTAATATTTAAGCTTGCATGTAGTAACTCTTGGCATTTATCTTCTGTCATTTTTTAAGCTTGTACTCTGAAAGAGCAGGTTAATTTTTGGTGAAATTATCACATTTATATGAATTCACTCCTTTAAGTATGTGTTTCCTGAGTGACTGGTAAAACAAAAATTTTCTTTGTTATTCATCATTTCCTATTCTCTGTATAAGTAATCATTAATCTATTTCCTTTGTATCGCCCTGATCTCAATCTCTCTGTATCAGTTCCAAAAGCTGATACATAAATCTGATTTCCATTAATAAAATTTTATGTATGTAAAACACGATGTGTCATTAGAGATTTTTGAAACAAAGAATATATTTATTTATTAATTTGAAAAAAAATTACCAATTAATATTGCTTAATAATGGTCAATTAATACATACATGTGCAAAAAAATAATTGCATTGAAAGAGTGTAATTTTTAAACTTGTGACATATGCTACATTTAGGTGCTTCAATCTAATGTAGCACAGTGTCATTGAATTCTTCTTTACAGAAACCATTCATTTCAAAATCTAATAAATTCACTGCATGTTCACATATGTTTCAACCATGTTTGGGACCTGTGATTGAAAGCTACAGCTGTGTTTAACTGAAGTATAACAACACACTACAATGACCTAGAACTCTGTGTGACATTGGAGATTCTATTATAATGATAAGAAGGTTTCACTTTATTTCTTCCTTAGTTTTGTATTATTTCAGTGATCTTGTTTCATTTAGTTTATATAGTTTAGTTCCCTTTTATTTGGATTTGTTTCACACTTGTGTACTATGTGCCACAACTTTCCCTAACATGTCTCTAACAGAAACAAAATCTACATGGGAATTAAGTGTTTTCAAAAAAAAAAAAAAATAAACTTATTATTACCACAATCTTTACAGTATTCATGATACACATCTCTGAATTACTTTACTATGTTTTAAGTATTGTTTAGAATTGAATAAACTAGATAAATTGGACTGAACTTTTCAAATTTTCATAACACTAATCTGCACTTGCACAACCTTGTGATTCAAGACATATAAACTAAAAAAAAAAAAAAATCATTAAATATGTGAAAGAAAAACAGGGAGCACATGTACATCATGCACATTTTAGCAATCCATGACCACACCCTTAAGTTCTACTCAACTATTGTTTTTTCATGTTTATTATTTATCCAAGCATTTGGGGCGACTGGAGATTCAAATCAATTAAATAAACAAGAGCTTAAATTCACTTCTTGACATCTCGTTTTCAACACCTGTATGTATACAGGATCGAGTTTTGAACCTTAAGAATCATATCCTACCCACCTGGCCTAGAAGTTCCACCTCTTATGTTAAGGTAAACATAGATTATTCTATGCTTTGAAATATGAAATATGAACTAGTATATTTTGTATTTTTAATACTTTACCGACTCCAGAATTTAGTATGGCATAATATAGACAGGTTGGGCACACCCCACCAAATGGTCATTTATCCCCCGTTTGGTGGACAATCTCCCATATCGGAGACGAATTTTACTGACCATTTGGGAGAGAAAAATGGTTGTGTTCAATTCCATAGAATGCCGTGGAATGGCGCATAATTTTAAACCATGTGGAGTAAAATATAGATATTTATCGGTGTTTTGAGTGAAAAAAATTTGAAATTCAGTGTGTAATTTTTTGCGCAGAGTCGTTCAAAAATTTGACAAAAAATGTCACGTATGTAAACAAGTGCAACGTTTCTCTGTTTTTACTTAAAAAGAAAAGTTCCTCCTTCTTCAATGATGTTGCACCTGTCAATCATGTTCTTTACTTTCTATTTCGATTATCCGGGCAACCAATCAAATAATGCAAACCAATAAAAACGATGATCTTTTTTTAACCTGGTCAAAAGTCGGATTTTACTACGGAGGCACATTAGTGTCAATTTTCAATTAGAAAATCAAAAGAAAAATAAGTTTTCGCGTTTATTTCGTTTTATTTTGTACGCAATAGCTTTGTTCTCTATAAAAATAGTAAATGAAGTTAGATTATGATATAATTATTATTTTAAAATGATGTACTTCGAACGAATACAAGAATAATTGCAAAAGTCACTCTGCAAATCTTTTATTGAAAAATATTTATCAAGTATATTAAATTCATCAGTAATATACATATTAAACCACAAAAGGTCGTATGGAATATGCAACTTCATCCTAAAAGAAAAATAACAACAGATATTACGTTCAAGTATAGAAAAATTTAACTTTATAGCAATAAGTGCCCACCATACCAGTAAAGTAATGAGGAGCTCGTGTTTAACGGGATTTTATGGAAATAAATATTGACGAAGATCCAAAAAGCGATTGAAACTTAACTTATCAAGAGTTCAACCACTGGATAAAATAGAATTTTTATCCTACTAGACACAATCAAATTTTTTTTGATCGAGTGATCAAGAAGTTCGGCTGTTACGGACAACTATGGGTATCGTTTTTAGGAAGTTATGAAGAAATTGCACATGGGAAATCGACCGAACTATGTTAATTGTGCGACGAATATGTTCACTAAAATTCCCCAATGCCTAAGTAAATGCGCTTTTGCTTTATTTTAATAAAATTTGGAATAGAATAAAGAAGTCCACCATTTGGTCAGTAAAATTCGTCTCCGATATGGGAGATTGTCCACCAAACGGGGGATAAATGACCATTTGGTGGGGTGTGCCCAACCTGATAGAGGGTGGGTGGTGGATATAGAACTCAGAAGTTATATTAATTAAACACAAGGATTTGATCGCGTGGACATCAAGGCTTCGCAAAATAGTTACTAAAGTAAAAGAAATCAATACTTACTACGGCTTTAACAGCTCTGATTCTGGTAAGCTTGTCTGATACGGTCATAAAAAACTTGTATCCAAGAAAAACGGAAAAAGTAAAAAAGTTATCTTTCCATCTATGGATTGACTAAACCACGGATATGCATATCTTGATGGATATTTTATTTCCGAAATGCCACGTGCATCTACGGTAATACGTATGAGTCATAATTTTATTTATAACCTCTGGTCGCTACAATGTATATATTTTTTTGTAGCGCCTGTCATATTAAAATAAAATACTTATTTGTTATTTACACTTTTTAAAAGAACATGTCATGCAGACAGATCCTACATTGTACCAGTGACCTATATTGTACATATGCCTACATGTATATATATACAGACTAAATCATTGAAGTATCCGATAGATAGCAAAAAAATTCTCCTCATCAAGAAGTCAAATCAAGGAAAATGTGTAATATTCCAAAGATCAGAGTAAAATCTTACCAAGTGATTTTTTTTTCTCTCAAAATTATCTCAAACTGGATAGCAACAATGCTTTATCTGTTTAAGAAAAATTTTTCAATCGTCAACTTCCCTTACTCATGAAGCAATGTACCCTTATCACTTCTCCTACAAGTAAGAGCCTCGGTTAACGTCCCTACGCTCCTTATATAACGCAGCACCAAGTCAAAGTATCTCGCCGTGTACCTCTAGCATGCTGGAGCACCCTCATCACCTGCATGTGGGGTTTTTGTCTCCTAGTTGATTCGATACGCAAAAGCATGCTCTATGTATGAACAATTTCTAAAACAAGGCAAGCTATTGACAATCAAGTTAATGAAATAGGTATATCAACTGTCTCGTTTGAAATCTATTTCATTAGTTTTATGGTTGATACAATGACCTTGTCAGCAAACACAACCTATCATCAAGTCAAATGCTGACTGACATTTTTCAAACTAATATGTTAGGCCATTATTTATACATTGAAATGTCACGATCACGACAAGTCCAGCACACGGCGGGTGTGATCGGTCGGCAGGGGATGCTCATGCTCACTCCTCCATGGCATCTGATCCCACCTCTGACGTTTTTGGAGGTCCGTGTTTGCTCTGCTCCCGATTGGACTTTGAGCTTGAATACTGTTCGTTATGTCCACATTTCATTGATATGACCTAATATTAGTTTAATATAGAAGCCTGTGGGAGAAGTACCATTTTCATAAATAAAATATAAATTAAGAAATTAAAATTTGGGGAAAAAAGCATTTCTTGAAGAGATCCACGACAATGTTCTATATAAAATCTGATGAATTAAAAACCGTAGATTACCTTGAACATTTCAGAGGATTTAAAATTTTACACACTTTTCAAGTGGAGATACATTGTATCTCATGTAATTAACACTGAATGTTAATTAATTGAGGGATTCTGTCCACACACTTAAGGAGAGATTCTTCTCATATTTCTTGTATTTAAAAATCAATGAAATATTCATAGATTCAAGAGGACATTATCATTAAGTGATGGTATCAATTAAATTAAATTTGACCGTTTTATTTTAAAAGCAAGGTCAGGTCAAGGTCATTATCTTTTTTCTTGACCTTAAGAATGAAAAAAAAATTACTGTTGCCAATCATGCCATGCCTACTTCTATTTCTTAAGATTAAATGTTTTTCTTTTTGCATAAAAAGATATTACCATATAGGGTCTATTAGATGATACTACTAAAATAGATATCAGCTAATCCGAATTTCCTTAGTTTTTCCTAGATTTTTAGGATATATTAGTTATTTTTATATGCTTCGTATATTAAAATATTTCTTATTTTCACACATGGTAAAGAGTAGTCATATAAAGGTACAAATTGATACAAAGACAAGAAAGTTTTGACCGTTTACTAAGAGCTAGAGAAAAACACGTTATAAGGATTTTTTGCTCAAATCTGTATTTAGATTGGAAGCTTTTAAAAGCTAAAAAAAACTGTAGTTTGTTTGGAAAATCATATTTTTTGATATATTTTAAAACTTCGGTCCATTATTATTAATTTTACTTACATTTGAAATTTTCTTAAAGTCTTCGATTGTTTAAATGTTTTAAACTAAATTCATTGTTCTTATGTTTTATTGTATTTTGAGAAGCAGAAAAGGAGATATTTTCATACGCCGACGTTCCGCTAAAATATAGTCCCAGCTACATTTCAAACCCAGTTTACCTTTTCTATTTAAAGTTGTACAATTATGATGAGGAAAGAAAAATACGATCTTTTAAATACCTTACATCTATAAATATAAGACATATAAGCAAATATACTTTGAATATTTCATCTAGTCAGAAACCAGACAAGAATCCCTCCTTAAGTTCGTGTCGTTTGTTCTTATCATCTTTTACACTCGTTTGATTTGAATAAATACTGAAAATAGCAAATACCCGGTCCTCTATCATACAATCAAATTCCTTAAAATATCAATATTGTTACATGTATTTTGTAAGTTCCCGGCCTTAATTGTAATTGATTTATTAATTTATTTGTTCTTTCATTTTTTTTTTTAATCAGTTAGTTTTTGTTATTTATTTTTTTTATCCTATAGCCAACAGAAAACTATATATAGTCCACCCTGTTCCCTAACCACTCTTATTTTACATGATTCATGTATTTTGAGTATACAAATTTTAATTAACGTGTTTATAAATCTGTATTATAATAACTAAGGGGAAGACCATTTGATTCTGAAGGGGGGGGGGAGGGCAATCTTTATTTCCAAGAGATGATCGGGAGCAGATTTTTTATTTTCCTCTTCACTGAAAAAAGTCTGGCAAGCAAAAAAAAAAAAAAAAAAAGGAATGTTGATTTCCAAGCTCTAAACTTCTTTTTGTTTGGGGGGGGGGGGGGGGGGTTAGCACCAGTCAAGGACAGATTATTTATTTTCTTGCCAGTCCAATATGGACGGATTTCTTATTTCCAACATTTTCAAGGATAGATTGATAAATTTATTTCCAAAATCTGACAGCCCCCTTTCAGGATCAAATTCAGAAAACTTATTTTTTTTACTTGTTCCTGCAGAATTTAGTGGTACCAGTTATACTATGCGTTTCATTTCAATATTCCGTTTTTTTTTTGTTTTTTGTTTTTTTTTTTAAAAAGCTATCTTTCTCAGTTTTTTTGTTTTAATTTTAATGGAATAAAATATAACATATGTAAATCTGTACACACCCAGCGGTGTTTCGTAGGCTAGGTTGTGAAGAAACATCTCATCAGTCAGAAATCATACCTAAGGGCTATCGTATGTCAACTTTTGACATGGTCCCTGTTTATTGATTTTTTTTTACCTGTTCTAAGATGGCGACCGTAAACAATTCCGTGGAGAAAGGTAGACTGGATATAGCTTGAACATAATGCCCAAACCACAAATAGACATAACGAAAAAATCATCGATTGACCATGAAAAAAATGTATGAAATCTTAATCACCGCAGGCTTTCTCGTCGCAGGTAAGAAAGTTAACAATTTTTCCGGTTTACCTGTTCAAGTTCACAGGTATGAAAATAACAATTTCATGCACTAGTTTTTTTTTTTTTTAGGATTTGAAAACCCCAAATCTAGGCTAACCTGTATAACTTAAAAAAATATTTTTGAATGACTACACTAAAGTTGAAACGAAAATTGTTGTGATCGGATAGGTATATTAAAAATGTAATTCCTCATACATGACGCACATGAGGTTAATATTACGAAATACAATTACAGCCATAAATATAATTACATTTACTTTTGTGTTAAGTCATACAGACATGTAGACCTGTATGTCATCAAAAACAATTCTCAGGAGGCAAGGAACTAAATAGAAACGAGGCACATATGCTTTTGTTTCGATCATTCAAATGTGTACCAACTGATAATGTTATGGTAAAATAATCCACATTCTTTGACATATTCATGATTTGCACACTTTTTGTTTGACATACAGTATACATGATTTGTCCACTTTTTGTTGCAACATGTCAGAGATTCAGAGCACTTTCAAAAGTCTTTTACAATAGAACGTTCTGACATACTCCAGTAAGATACACCCGGCACTGTTATTCTGATAAAATATTTATTATAAATACTTAATTGTAGTTAGTTAAAAAAAGTAGTTCCATATTTTCAATATCATATAATTGAAAGTGACAACTACCAAAAGTTTTCATGACTTCTTAATTTTTGCTGGTGCTTATGATGGTGAGGTTTTTGTTGCCTATTTGTCTGTCTGTCTGTTTTTATACAAACTACAGGAGGAGGAGTACTAGACTACCCATTGTGATCTGATCACCCATTGTGGCCCCATCCTAACCCAAAGGTAATGATTTGGGCAAACTTGAATCTACACTACCTGAGAACGTTTCCATATAAATCTGAGTAATCATGGCTTTTCTCTTCTAAATTGGGAAGAAGATTTTTTTCCATATAAATTCCTATATAAAACTTTGATCCCCTATGTGACTCTACCATAACCACAGGGATCATGATTTGAAAAATGAATGAATCTACACTATGTAATGAAGCTTTCTCATAAGTTTCTTTTTTTGGCTCAGTGGTTCTTTATCAGAAGAGTTTTGAAAGATGCCATTAATTTCTTTTACGAATTCTTAATTACCTCCCTTTGATAGAGGACAAAATCCTTCATTTAAACAAACTTGAATCTCCTTTAACAAAGGATATCTTGCGGCAAGTTTATTTGAAAGTACCCCGATGGAAGTCGACAAATGTTAAAAGTTTACAGTCTGACAAATGGGCAGACGGGCTTCAGACAAACTGATCAGAAAAGCACAATAGAGCTTTCAGTTTAGTGTAGCTAAAAATGAAGTGTTTCAACTCCAGGTGCAAGTTTCTTTTCCACTTTTAAGAAAAAAAACCCATTAGGGCCACAGTCTCGTGAGAGACTTATGTTTTTCTTTAATGCCATAGAACTGAATGCAATTGTAGATTTTTATATCTTAAGGAAACAGAACCTACAAGTTAAAATTATATCTTCACATTTGTCTATTGAACAAGGTCTGTATGCAGAACAGTGCTACACGAACTCAGGAGGTGTGTACAGCGCCGGAAGTATATACCGGAACCTGAAATACTGCGCGTTTGGTTGCTGCGGACCTGCCTTAAATCGTTACTGCTGCCCTATCATTGGACCAATCATCGGAATTTGTCTGGGAGCCATTGCTTTCATCGTCATTCTCATTGTCATCATCGTCTGTTGTAGAAAATATGCAGAGAAGCAAGCCAGGCGCCACGCTGATTTAAAAATACATATAGGTATTAATTGATTTATAACATTTACACTTATGAAGTCTGTGTAAAGTGTTTATCATTATCATCCGACGTTTTTATGTTTTTTTTATTCTTTAGGTCCTACCCTAGCTAGTCGTTATGATCCTCCCCAGTATGACACCGAGTCTAATCACGCAAGCAGCAGACAAGACTATCAATTAAAATCACACTCTGTTCGAGATGCATCCTCACATCGCGTGTACGATGAACGTTCAGATGACATCGATTATCGTCCTCATCGGAAAAGGAATACAGATGATCCACATCACTCACGTGATGATGCTCGACTTGTTAACAATCGTAACAGTTATAGAAGTGAGAAGAGGTCGTCAAGGAGGTCAGAAGCACATGGGCACAATAATCGGCGAGGGTATCACAGTGATGATGATCGGCGACACGATTATCGCGATAGTCATCGTGAACGACATCATCATAGCTATGATCGTGAAAGAGAACGTCATCATAGTCGTTCTCGAGAGCGTTATATGGATCGTAGTTACGATGACGATGACTACTCTGACGAAGAAAGGTATAGACGTTCTAGTCATCGCAGATCACGATACAGTGATCCACCTCCATATCGCGAGAGATCACGAGACTTTGATAGGTATGACCGCCATTCTCATCGCAGATCAAGATCTAGAGACCGCCATTATGACAGATGATTGTGATCCATGTTAATCATTAATAATCACGAGCCATGCTAATTCTAAATGATTATAATTAAACCGAATGTTTTCATAGATCCCTGGGAAATACGTGATTGTATTTTGTTTATAAAAATCCTATAGCATAATTTTGAACAAAAATGCTAAATTATTACAGTAAAACAGTTGTGACGCAAAAATTACAATGTATGTAATATAGCTGTATGCTTAAAAATAACTTTGCAGACGTATAATTTCATTTCTGGTACAATAACTGTGTATATACTGTATAGTTATATGAATTTTAGATTACTTAAACTTTATACAAGATTTATTATTTGAAAGATTATTTCAAATGCAAGTGTAAATAGTTTTTCAACAGACTTACCATTTATAAAGGTTTTAATCAAAGAACTCAAATCAATACTTTGTTGTACTTGAAAAAATAATGGACATATGTATTATGTATTGAAGTATGTTCAGCTAAACAACTAAAACCTTTTTTTCAACTCCCAACGAGAGTGAGAGGATCCATCAATAGCAATACCAACTGGAGGTGATAAAACTATCCATTTGACATTGATATTATCTAGGTATCAACTATTTTTTCTCAGAAATTTGCATTTTTAAAAACACGTGCTACCTAGCTCGAATTTCCTCGACTACATATACAATGTCGAGTATAACTAAAGAAGAACTTGAGTCTCTTAAAGACTTATCTAATGTTGATTTATCAATATCAAACCTTTATAATGAATACCCAGAGAACTGTATTCCTAATAAGCTCCGCCCGCCTACAGGCTCTAAAGCAAGACAGGCGGCATACGAAGAAATTAATCCACACCTTTATGAAGAACAAGCCAGAATGGTAGCATTTCGAACAAAACGGGAACGTGTATTTCCGTGGATAAGAGCTTTACAAATTATCTACATAGAAAAGCTGCAAATGTGTAACTCTGTCGAAGTCAAATGGTATAACAACCCAGAAAAGTGGGATAGTAACAATACCCTAGCAACAAACTCTATTTGCATAGATATTGGGAATGACTCTAGCCTACACTACAAGATAACATTCTTTGTTTCAACTGGTACTATCCAAGTCCAAGGAAATGAAAAAGATACATTTGTTACCAAGTTCTTTCCTCTGCTGAAAGAATTAGTGAATAGAATTAGTGAGTCAATCGAAAAAGAAGAAACCTTTCCAAAATCTGTAACTGAAAATCTACAAGGCCCAAACTCTGTCAGTTACTCGAACCAAGAACAATTGCTAAACAGTGAACAAAGGCAAATTGTATCAGCCTCAATGCATGACTTTGAGAGATTTCAAGAAAGTATGGTCCTGGCTTTAGAGGAATTAAGCAAATCACACTCTGGACTTGTGAAAACGTTAGAAACAAGACTCTTAAAAGGCCTGGAATCGCTTCAAACTACAGTTAGTACTCTTACTTCAGCCGTTGAAAACTTGAACAGCCAGAACAATAAAATGTCAACAACACCGAGTAAATCGAAAAACCCTGAAAATGAAATTAACTCGATAAAAAATAAGCTTAAGAAGTCAGATGAAATCAGGAATGACCTTCAAATAAAAGTTGCAAATCAACAACTTGAATTAGAAAACAAGGAGGCACAACTTAAAAATGAAAAAATCATGCATAATACATGCAAACACCAACTCCTTGACATGCTAGAAGCAAACAAGTCAGAAAGCTCTACATTAGTGGAAAAACTGAAAAGCAAAAATGAGGAGTTACTTAACATGGAAAATGAAAACAAACATCTCAAAGAAAAAAATGAGGCACTTTTTAAGGAGATTCTAGGTTTGAAGATGCATATTTCCAGTATGGAATCCAACAATGCGAAGTTTACACAGGTAGGAGATAAGAAAATTGAAGAAAATCACTCTTCACCATATGAGCTTCATAAGGGAAATCAAACTTCTTCTAAGACAAAACCCCCTAAACCCAAAGTCCTGTTGGTGGGGACTTCTAACACGAAGAAGATTAATCCAGACATTCTTAGTTCATCATTCAAAACGACAAAAATACTTGCTTATACAATTGAAGAAACTAGGGATACCATATTAAGATATGAGGAAGCAGCACCAGATGTTGTTGTTCTTCATCACCTCACTAATGATGTAAAGACAAAAAGTCCTGAGATTTGTGTTAACGAGACAGAAGAAATTGTCAGCACCATCACTCAAAAATGGTCAGCCAAAGTGGTTCTGTCGCTATGTACTCCTCGTAAAGATGATGAATTACACAGTGCAAATAGTGCTCTGATCAATGCCCTTCTAAAGAAAAAATACAAAGATGACTCATTTGTGTATATTAGTGATAACATAAACATGTCTACTAGGCATGCCAAAGTCCTAGAAAGAGACAATGTCCATCTTACACAAGATGGTGTTGCCATGTTAGCCTCCAACATAAAAAGATCAACCCTTCTAGCACTAGGAATTGAGCAGTCTCCAATTCAGATGGAAAAAGACCAAGACTCTCGCCGTGCTTCACCAAAGAAGATGTACACGTACCATCGGAGATCGCGAAACTACCAGTTCGCACCATCTGGACCATGGGAAAGGAGATCTTACCAACCTGCCAGCTATGGCTTTAACTATAATTACTAACTTTTTTTTAATCATCTTTTTAGGTTTTACCTATCAGTTACACAGATGATATATATAAACAATGTGTTCTACTCCAGTATATGAATTGTAGTAATACACTTGAATACTGCACCACCTTCACTTATCGGTGCACCTGTACTCATGACCATCATGTTTATTTGCAACTCCCTTTTTTTTCTCACATAATGTTGTTAGAATATATTCTGTTTTATATGTGTTGAAGGATGTTGTACCTCTTCTCTTGATTTGGGTTTGGAAATTTGGTAGTTTTTATTTAGAATGTATCAGATGTACAGCAAGACAAATGTTAAATGTGCTTTTTGGAATATTGGAGGATTGATATCAAAAGGTATGAACAAAATGGATGATGAGCTTTTTCTATCAAGAATTATAGATAAAGATTTAGTATTCCTTGTGGAAACACACATTGGACCTGATACAATTGTTATACATGATGATTTTTACTGCCATACAATATGTAGAAGTAGATCTAATAATGGCAGATACTATGGAGGAATATCAATATTAATTAAGCATGAGATTAAAGAGCATGTCTCTATAGTTAAAAATACATGTAGTGAATACCAGTGGATCAAATTAGAGAAAACTTTTTTCAATTTTGATAGAGATTTGTATATATGTACTGTATACAATCCCCCTGAAGGATCACCTGCAATTACAAAAAATAATATTAATATTTTGGAGCTTGTACAGAAAGATATTTTTCATTTTAAAGATTTTGGAAATATAATGCTTTGTGGAGATTTTAATGCTAGAACAGGAAGCGCAGTTGACTATATATTTGATGATAACATTCAATATTTACCTTTATTTGAAACATATAAAATTGATAATGATATTTCCAACAGAGTTAATAGGGACACTTGCATGGATAAAAGAGGAAAAGAACTAGTAGATTTTTGTATTGCAAACCAACTCCGTATTATGAATGGAAGATGTTTTGGTGACATCTTTGGAAATTTCACTTGCCACAATTATCATGGCAGTAGTGTTGTTGATTATCTTTTAACTGATGAAGAAACTGTACAACATATTTTGTTTTTTGAAGTATCAGATTTTATTTCCACATTATCTGACTGCCACTGTATGTTGTCATGGAATATTTTTTCTCAATATAGTTCTACTAATAGAGAAAATAGTATAGATAATAATCAATGCAAGACCCATTCATCCTTTAAATGGGGAGAAGACTCTGCTATAAAATTTATAGAAGCATTACAGTCCCAAAAAATAAAAGACAAATTTGATAACTCCATGAGCATCAATGACATAGAGTCTATAGAATCAAGGGTAAAAAGTTTAAAAGATTCCCTGGAAGCTGCAGCCATTATGTCATTAAAACCAAATTTACCTAAAAATAAAACATGTAAAAGTAATAAAAGCCCTGCTAAACATAAAAACAAATGGTTCGATAATGAGTTGATACATATGCGTTCAAAACTAGTAAGGAAGGGACATTTATTTGGCCACAACCCTAGAAATATTTATGTTAAGAATCAGTATTATAGAGCATATAGAATTTATAACAAACTACGAAAACAAAAATTTAGAACATATCATTGTAATATTATTAACAAGCTAAATACTTTAGGTTCAACTGATCCAAAAAAAATATTGGAAACTTATAGGGGAATTAAGAAATGGAAACAAAGGCACAATTGATACATCAATCTCTAATAATGATTGGATAAACCACTTCAAAAAATTGAATAAAACTCATGAGGATTTCCATGATCAAGATCAGTTTCTCAAAGACCAACTAAAACAAACTGAGGAAACATCTACGCCCATTTTTAATGAACTTGACTACAAAATATCTTTGAATGAAATAAATAAAGCAATCAGCAAACTAAAAAATGGTAAGGCAGCTGGGCCTGACAGAATTTGTAATGAAATGCCGAAACATGGCCAAATGTTTCTTATACCAGTCTTACTGAAAATCTTTAATGCTTGCTTATCTCTTGGCTATTATCCTTCTTCATGGTGTGAAGGATACATTACTCCAGTATACAAATCTAATAACACTAATGATCCCAACAATTATAGAGGAATCACAATTACCAGCACAATTGGCAAACTTTTTAATTATATTCTTAACTCAAGACTAGATAAATATTTACAATGTAATAAAAAAATCAATCCATGTCAGATAGGATTTACAAAACAAGCTAGAACTTCAGATCATGTTTTTGTTTTGAAAACACTTATTGAAAAATATTGCAAATCAAAACAAGGGAAACTGTATGCTTGCTTTGTTGACTTTCATAAGGCCTTTGATAGTATAAACCATGCTGGTTTGAAACTTAAACTATTAAAAGCAGGTATCAGCACAAAATTTTACTCAGTTGTTAAGGAAATGTATTCTAAAAGCTATTCGTCTATTAAACTGGGTAACAAATTAATTGGTCACTTTCACACATACAATGGGGTTAGACAAGGCGATAACTTAAGTCCAAACTTATTCAAGATTTACCTTAATGATCTACCTAATTATCTATCAAATTCTGAAAGTTTTGTAAAATTAAACAATGATTCATCTACATCTATTCATTGTCTCATGTATGCTGATGACATGGTGCTTCTCTCCCCCACTGCTGAAGGTCTACAAGAAAAACTCAATATACTAAATAC